CAGGGGTCGGGGGCGCGGGGACCGGCCCGCGGAGGGGATTCCGCCTGCGTCGGGGCCGGGTAACGGCGGTTAGGCCGCCGCGCCCGCCCGAGGGGGGCCGGGGCGCCGGGGCCGGCCGGGAGGCGCCGGTCCGCCGCGGGCTGACGCTGTTTTCTGTCGACACAGGCTCGTAGCCCCCGCGCAGGCAGGCCGCCTGGGGTCGGGAAAAGGCGCCGCGGCGCTTGAGTCAGGCTTGGCGGGGGCTGAAGACAGCGGGGTCACTGGTCAGCTGGGGGTTGCTGCAGGAACTGCGCCCGGTAAGGAGCCTCGCGCCGCCTCCCCGCCCGGGCGGGCCCATAGCCCCGGGGAGCGCGTTCCCGTCTTCTCCTCCAGGAGAAACCCGGGCCACACGATTCCGAGGTGTAGACAAAGGGCACAGACCCGGCGCTGGTCCCGGGAGCCGTGGGACCCTTGCCCCCCCCAGCCTCTCTTCCTCACCACCCAGCCCTCCAGACTGAGAGGCGTGGGACGCGCCGGCCCAGGGGCCTGCTCCTGCAGCTGTCACAGTCACCGTGTTCCCTCCCGCCTTGAGGGAATGTTTTGACCTTGATCTTGAAATTTCTTTTTCCTTATTCCTGACGTCTCTTGTGGCTGGTGTAGCGGCAGGGGCAGTAGGTTAACCTGAGCCTTTGCAGATGGTTAGGCGTTACCCGAATGACCACACAGCTGTTAGGGACAGGAAGCCAGCCCCTGCAAATCTCAGCGAGCGCTCGCTCTCAGGGGTCTGGAGTGGGTGAGCTGTTGCCCTTGCTAAGGGAAGGGCCCCCGGAGGCCCTCACCCGACTGTCAGGGCCTCTGGCAGATCACCTGTCTGGGGCTTGGTTTCGGCTCAGGTCATGATCTCATAGTTTGTGAGTTCAAGCCCCGGGCAGCCTCTGTGCTGACCGGGTGCAGCCTGCTTGGGCTTCTCTCCCTCCCTCTCTCTGCCCCTCCCCCTGTTCGTGCTTTCTTTTTCCCTCAAAATAAATAAACTGAAAAAAAAAATCCGTATGTTAAAAAGAGAGAGAGAGAGAGAGAAGCCACTCAAAACAGGTCTCAGGACTTGGCCCCGACTATAGGCTGCAGTCCTGTGCCCTCTGCTGATACACAAGCAAACTGGTTGCAAACCAGTGAGCTGGAAGCATTTCTCAGGCATATAATTTTTGGAAAAGGACTAATGTTTCTGGTGGTGCCTGAAGAAATAATTGTGAATTCCCCAGGCTCCCCAGGAGAAGCCTCAGCACAGGTTGTAAATAGTGTTCCTTCTCTGGTAGCACTCCTCTCCCAGCCTGCAGTCTTGCTTTAATCCTTTAATCCTGTCACCCCCCCCCTCCACCCCCACCCCACTCTGCTCTGCAGTCCTTCCTGGGCCCTGATAGCACTGGACTTTAGCAGAGGTGGAATATCACAGAAACTGGATGATACAGAAATGTTTGTTTTGCCGTGGGCGAGAAGGGCCGGGGAAATGCCAGCCGCTTGTTAGAGGAAAGGGGAATTGGATACTTGGTGTCCCCTTTAAAGCTGCGATTCGGCCAGTCTCCCCATGAGCACGCCACCGCCCCTGGGGCCGCGGTCCGTCAGTCAGCTGGTGCTGCCTGCGTTTTGGATCCCTTCAGGGAGAGGCCCCCCATCCCAGTACCGACCCCAGAATTTCACGGCCGGGTCCTGTCACCTTTAGTGGTGCTGATCTTTTTTCGCGTTGACTTAGAGTATTGTTGGCGCCTCTGTGAATTTTTAGGTTGAATAAGTTTGTTGAAAATATCTTGGCACCTGACTCCCCGGTGGAGGATGCTTTTGGCTCTTGCCCTGGCGGGGTCCTGTGGCTCAACAGATGGTGATTCCGTCTCCTGCACACTTGAATCTGGAACCCTGGTGGCCCCTGGTGGGTTTTGGGGGTTATCCAGACTTCCAGTTCTGCCCTTTGAAAGTGAATATTGTTCTCTTCTCTGGCTGGAGGCCTGGGAGGGGCGGTGAGCCCGTGTGACTGAGGCTCTGTTAGCTGGGCCGCGGGGCACTGAAACGTAGTCCCGCTGGGCATGTGCCCTCGGGCTTCCTCTCTTCCTGGTCTGAGTCAGGTGTGAGCACCCAGAAGGAGCGGCGGTCACAGCTGCCGGTGATTTGATCACAGCCACAAGCTGGTCCTTCTGTCCTCTTGGAACCCGCGGGAAAGAAAATAAGGATCATGGTCTGAGAGAAATGATTTGTGAATATGCACATGAATAATTTTCTGTATTTTCCTTGCGGATATGGTAAAGTGAGGATATTTTCTTCTTTACCAAAGGAACTCAGAGAAGCAGACACGGCGAGCCTCACGCTCTGTTGCTCGCTGTCACTTCCCCAGGTCGTGGCATCAGGACGCCAGGGCTCCTGTGCCGTGTCAGCCTGGCGTGGCCTCCTGTGGACGCTGACCGGGGTTGCCCTTTGTCTTCAGGTCCGGCCCTGCTGGGTGTCCTTCTCCATCACACGGACCGTAGGAAGAGCTCCACCATGGACCAGGGAACCCTGAGGGTCGAGTCGTTGCCTGCGCTGACCGACAACTACATGTACCTGATCATCGACGGCGAGACCAAGGAGGCCGCCATCGTGGACCCGGTGCAGCCTCAGAAGGTGGGAGGCCCCAGGGCTGCGTGTTTGTCCCCCGCCGGGGTTCCTATCTGCAGTGACCTCGCGGCTTGGCCGAAGCTAAACTGAAATTAATCCATTTGGTTTTGAAAAACAACTGAACTAGTGTCCGGCCACTCTGCTGTGGGGTGGAAGGCCAGGGAGGGGTGGGGCCGGCAAAGGCTGGGGTGTGGAGAGAAGTGGGTTTCTGTCTGTAAGGTCCCCGGTGGGGGGCGGGGAGCAGGAGCCCCCCTCAGCCTGCCCGCCCTTCCACGAGGCTTGCTGTCCCTCCGCACTGCCTCTGGGGGCGGCGACATCGTCTGGAGGGGCTCAGGTTGTGGCTGGCACGGAGCTGCCACTTGCTGCGTGAGAGAAAAAGGCCACCTTTGCCCTGCGCTGCGGGAGGGGGGTGGGGGGGGGGGGGGGCACAGGTCGGCAGGGTCAGGTCAGGGCCCAGCCCCTCCCGGCAAACCCTGGGTCCCGCTGGCACCGCCGCAGGCTTTGGAGCCAGTGCTGGGAGCGTGGCCGTGGCCCATGTCTTGTTTCACGTTTGGCTGCAGGTCGTAGAAACGGTGAGAAAGCACGGCGTGAAGCTGACCACAGTGCTCACCACCCACCACCACTGGTAAGCTCTGGAGCCCGAGCTACCTCCATGTCAGTCGAGCTGCCTGGGCCTGTTCGCCCCAGGCTGGCGTCCGTGGGGGTCGGCACCTGCAGGCTCCCCGGACCCTCCCACAGGCGGAGGCCTGGGGCGTCGGGGTCCCCGGAAGCCGTCCCCTCCCAGCTGTATCCTCTGCGCAGCCGAGGGCTGGCCCCGGCGGGACCGTGAGAGGACTCGAGGGCGCCAGCCTCCGGGCTGCTGCCCCTCGACCTTGGCCCCGGCCACGGGCTCTGCTAACTCCGGGGCTCTGTGGGGAGGACCTCCAGCCGCATCTTTGAAGGCCCTTGGGCTTGTGTGATGGGAGACCGGCTTTGATGTCGGGGAAGAAACTAGACGTTAGTGTTTTTAAGAATCAAGCAGGGGTATTTGGAGAGGTTGTGGTTTTTGAAATTTGAAGGGAAAAGGATGAAAGGAGCACTTGTGTTTGGGTTTTAGACCCTCCTGTGGGGTTTTTGAAACTTTTGAGTCTCTTCTCAGCTGGAAAAAAATCTTTATTTGGCTCATTTTCTTTTCTAATTAAGTGCCTGAGGGCAGCCAACCCCTGACAGCCCGTCCCCGAGGCTGCCGCTGCGCTTGAGTCTGCGTGGGGCGTCTTCCCCGTGGGAGTGTCCTGGGCACGTGGGTCGGCCAGAGTTTGCTCTGTGGTGGCACCTTCTCGGTCGATGTAACTAAGCCGCTGAGAGTCTATGGGGGCGTCAGGTGTTAATTCCTGGTGCGGACGGTTGGGTTTACTGCCGTGCCCTTGGCCGCTGCCCAGCCAGCTGCTCTTTCTGGAAGGTGCCCCGCGGGCTGCGGCCTCTCTCCTGCGCCAAGTAACCACCACGTCACTTTTCTGATGTTGCGATGCTCTGAGGTTTTTCACCCGTTTGTGCTGGAACACAAGATCCCAAACTGGGTCCCAGGCTGAGCCCCAGGGCGTAGGCGCCTCCCTCTCTCACTGTCCTCGCTCTCCTCGGTGGAGGCGGAGGTGTTTCTGCAGGTCAGTGGGGGACAGTGCTGGGACGCTGGCCTGTGTGGAGCTGACCTGGGGGTGGGGGAAGGGCCCGCCCCCGTTATCTCTGGGCTCTGCCGTGTCTGGGCCCCCGGAGGACTCCGTAGATAAATGTGTGGTGAGGAGCAGGCGCTCTCTGGCCATCCGCAGCCCTCGCCTTGTCCTGGGAAGGCTGATCTGGTGTTGGGACACTAGCCCTGCTCCGAGGTCAGGGCCCTGGGCTCACGCTGGCGTGGTTCCAGCCCCACAAGGCCAGGGGTGGAACTCTTTTCCTGTTTCTGAAGCGCAGGTCAGGCTGCCCCCATTGAGTGCCGGGAGCCCTGGAGGAGTGTCCTGGCTGAGGTTAGAATCCCTTGCAGGGTGGGGGTGGGGCGGGGGGGGGGGCGTGTGTCCAGGGCTGGCCTGGCCCCAGCTTGCTCTCTGCCTCTGCCCGTGTGTGTGTGTCTATTTGTTTGTTTGTTTAGATATAAGTGTTTGTGTTTTAAAGTTTTTAATATTTTAATTTTTAACATTTTATTTTAGAGAGAGCATGAGTGAGGAAGAGGGCAGAGGGAGAGAGAGAGAGAGAGAAGAGAGAGAGAATCCTATGCAGAGCCCCACAAGGGTTCAATCCCATGACCGTGAGACCATGACCTGATGAGCCTGAGTCGGATGCTTAACTGACTGAGCCCCCCAGGCACCCCTGAAGTGTTAACTTTGACTCCAGTTAACGTACAGTGTTACGTTAGCTTCACGTGTACGGTACAGCGATTCAGCAATTCCATACGTCACCTGGAGGTCGTCACGACAAGCGCACTCTTAATCCCCATCCTGTTTCCCCCCCCCCTCTGGTGACCATCAGTGTGTTCTCTGTAGTTAAGAGTCTGTCTCTTGGCTTGCCCCACCCCACCCCCCGATTTGTTTTTCCCTTTGCTCGTTTGTTTTGTTTCTTAAATTCCACATATGAGTGAGATCACACGGTATTTGTCTTCCTCTGACTTATTTTGCTTAGCATTGTACTTTCTAGACCTATCTGTGTCGTTGCAAACGGCAAGAGTTCATACTTTTTTATGACTAATGTTCCGTTGTGTGTGTGTACGCACATAAATCTATCGCATTTTCTTTATTCATTTATCAGTCAGAGGACACTTGGGCTGCTTCCTTACCTTGGCTGTCGTAGATAATGCTGCTATAAACATTGGGGTGTTCTTGTATCCCTTGGATAGATACCTAGCAGTGCAACTGCTGGGCCGTAGGGTAGTTCTCTTTTTAATTTTTTGAGGGACCTCCATACTTTTCTTCAGAATGGCTGCACCGGTTTGCATTCCCACCAAAAAGGGTTCCCCTTTCTGCGCATCCTCGCCAATGTCTCTTGTTGCCTGAGTTGTTCACGTGAGCCATTCTGACAGGTGTGAGGCGATACGTCATTGTGGTTTTGATTTGCATTTCCCTGATGATGAGTGATGTCGAGCATTTTTTCGTGTGTCGGTTGGCCATCTGGATGTCCTCTTTGGGGAAGTGTCTATTTGTGTCTTTTGCCCATTTCTTCACTGGATTATTTGTGTTTTGGCCTGGACGGTCCCCTATGTCAGGAGCATCACAGGCACATCAGTTTGATAAGTTCTTTATAGATTTTGGATACCAACCCTTTATCTCATATGTCATTTGCAAATATCTTCTCCCATTCTGTCAGTTGCCTTTTAGTTTTGTTGATTGTTTCCTTCGCTGTGCAGCTTTTTATCTTGATGAGGTCCCAATTTTTGCTTTCGTTTGCCTTGCCTCCAGAGATGTGTGTAGTAAGAAGTTGCTCTGATTGACGTCCAAGAAGTTACCGCCTGTGTTCTCCTCGAGTATTTTGATGGCTTCCTGTCTTCATTTAGGCCTTTCATCCATTTTGAGTTTATTTTTGTGTCTGGTGTAAGAAATTGGTCCGGGTTCATTTTTCTTCATGTTTGCTGTCCAGTTTTCCCAGCACCACTTGCTGAAGAGATTGTCTTTATTCCATTGGATATTCTTTCCTGCGTGGTCAAAGAGGAGTCGGCCATCTGTTTGTGGGTCCATTTCCGGCTTCTCTGTCCTGTTCCACTGATCTGAGTGTCTGTTCTTGTGCCAGTACCACACTGTCGTGATGAGGACAGCTTTGTGATAAAGCTTGACGTTTTGGCTTTCCTCTTCAGGGTTGCTTTGGTTATTCGGGGTCTTTTGTGGATCCATACAGATTTTAGGATCGTTTGTTCTAGCTCTGTGAAGGATGCTGGTGTTATTTTGATAGGGATTGAATTAAACGTGTAGATTGCTTTGGGTAGTATCGAAATTTTAGCGATTTTGTTTTCCTACTCCACTTCTTGCAAACGCTTTTGTTCAGTGTATTATAGTTCTCAGAGTACAGGCCTTTCATCTCCTTGGCTAGGTTTATTCCTGGATATCTTATTCTTTTGGGTGTAACTGTAGGTGGGCCTGTGTGCTCAGAGCGGCGGGTCCCAAACTGGGACGAGGGGGCCTTTGAAACTCCCGCTGTGCCAGCCGCCCCCCGGCCAACGGCGTCAGGAGCGGGGCAGGAGCCAGGACTTGGTGCTTCTTACAGATCGTCTGGCGACTCTTATGTGCCCAGAGCTTGGGAGCTGGGGGCTTGGGGATTATCCAGGTGTTTGTGATTTGGGTCGGTCGCTCCAGAAGCTTCTCCCGCAACAGGGCAGGGGCACAGAAGTGCCTCATTTGGGAATGGCGTATCTGAGAGCGTTCTTTTCAGTGGAGCCAAATGACACTGAGGCCAGTTTCCTGTGTTGGGAGATGCGTTCCCGCTTCTGAGAAGGTAACCAGGAAAGAACATCTGGTCGGGGTTTAAAAGCAAGCGGGCCCCTCCCATGAGCAGGAGCCCAGGTCTCCTTTCCAACTTCCAGGGACCACGCTGGTGGGAACGAGAAGCTGGTCAAGTTGGAGCCTGGGTTGAAGGTGTGTGGGGGCGATGACCGGATCGGGGCACTGACTCACAAGGTCACGCATCTGTCCACACTGCAGGTGAGCAGCACTCGAACACTCGAACGTGGTTGGCCTCTGGGCCTTAAAGGGGCGGCGTGTGGCGGGGACACTTGCCCTGCTCCTGGCAGTTCCCTCCCCTACCCAGGGGCCCAGAGGGGACCTCGAGGGCTTGGGATCGGAGGCAGCATAACCTGCGAATGGGTGGAGGGCCTCTCGGGGCCGCCTAGGCCTGCACGGTCCCCAGTGTCAGGAGCATCACAGGCACGTCAGTAGGCCGATGGTCCTGGCTGCGGGGAGAGGCCGCCAGGCAGGGTTTTGAGACCGTTGGGGAAGTGGAAAAACAGAGCACGCACGCATCAGGTTCTCACATCGGCGTCACGTCTCTTGGAAGTGATGACGATGTGCGGTGAAGCGAGGGGACGTCCCTCTCCTAGGAGACTCAGCTGGAGCCTTTAGGGGCGATATGTCAGCACGTGCGCGACTCCAGGTGTGTGTGCACAGGACACGCTGCGGACGGGCGCACCGTTAGCATTTGGTGACCGGGTAAAGGTCACAGAAGTTCCTCTCTTTTTCAGTTTTTTGGTAGGTTTGAAAGTTTTTTTTTAAAGTTGGCAGGGGGGGCAGTGGGAGACAGAGAAGGAAAACCAAACGGAAGGTCAAGTACTTAAGAAGGAAAGCTAGCTTTTCTAGCACGACACCTGGTTCAAATTTGGCCCGATGTTGAGGAAGAAAGCAAAAGAAGCCCCTTTGCTTTTGCACACCAGCAATACCAGGTTGCAGGGTGCGCCTCGCCTCTGGGGCGCCCTCGAGGTCGGGGTCCCACGGTCACCGGCGAGATCTGTGTCCTGCTCAGTGGAGCAGTGGTGATGGAAGCCGCGCTCTCCTTGGGGCGTTGAGGGTCTGAGGGGGAGTCCGTGGGATCGGTGGTCCGCCTCCTGGGAGCCCGTGGGCGAGTTCGCAGCGTGCAGGGAGCCCATGCCAGTGCGTGCTTCGTTTAAGGTGGGGTCTCTCAACGTCAAGTGCCTGTCGACACCGTGCCACACTTCCGGCCACATCTGCTACTTCGTGAGCAAGCCTGGGAGCTCTGAGCCTCCTGCTGTGTTCACAGGTGAGGAGTGTTCTGATGTGCGTGCTGGGGCGGGGTGCGCTTTAAAAGACCCCCGTGACTTAGGGTTGTCCGAGAGCTCGGGGCAGAGAAGCGGAGCGTTTGCGGCCAGGCTTCCCGAGCAGGGCTGTGGCAGGGGGCCGCAGGGGGCCTGCAGCCCTGGGGGCAGAGCACGGGAAGGCCGCTGTTTGGATGCACCCCCAGCCTCGGCCTGCGTGAGTGGCCGGCAGGTAGGCCTTTCCAGCAGTCGAAGGGGCTTTTCCCTTCGGAGAGAAAGTGAGAGAATGTTGCTGCTGATGGGGGAGCCGGTGAGGACCGGAGCGGCAGAGCGTATCAGCCCCAGCCTCGAGCAGGCCCTGCGGCGGCCAGAGGCAGCGTGGGGGCCCAGAGCGGCCCTGCAGCCGGGCGGGTGCGTGTGGGGATCCGGGTGGGGACCCATGTCGGCTCTGCGGCGGGGCTCAGTCAACAGCCAAGTGCGGCACGGGTGACATGAGACGTTAACTCGGGGAAACCACAGACGGAGCGTGGGGTGCACGGGGCCTCTGGGACCTCCACAGCGCTCGTGAGCCCCTCTTCCCCCGTCGAAGCCGACTTTCAAGACCGCAGCCGTTCTCAGTGTCTTCGGTGGTGCAGCAGCAGGAGGTGCGGTCCCTGGGGTGACCCCGAGTTCGGGCTGTGCAGCCCTGAGCTCACTCTGGGCCTCGCCCGCCTGTGCGGGGGCAGGTGGGCACCGGGCCCGGGAGAGTCTGCGCCCTGGTCATTGCTGCGTCGGGTGGGTCCTTGGACGTCAGTCTGCGCGTCTGCCGGGTGGGCTCTTGGGGGTTGGAGTGAGGCGGGTCCCTCGGGACGGCACAGAGGGGAGAAGCCGTGTCCCCGCCTTGAAAGGCAGGTCTGCCTGCGCAGAGACCCCGGTCTGAGCCCAGGCCCATGCGGTGCGTGTGTCCTCCGTGAGACCATGGCCGGCGGGGGCGTGTTGTACGTGACAAGTTGCGTGTGCCCTCGCGGCGCAGCTCAGGTGTCCACGGCACGGACGGTGAGGACTCAACGTGTGGGAACCGGGACGTCCGGCAGGTCCCGGTGTGGAAATAGGGGAAGGCCGGGCCCCCGAGTCTTCTGTTCCTGTGTGCAGCCCGGCCTCCTTTGTGGTCTCTCTGGCTTCTAGCTGGTTCTGACTCACCCTACCTGGTGGGCTGTTCAGGGGCACAGCCCAGTCCTGACCCCACTAGGACGTCCTGTCGTCTTGTGGGGACAGTGCTGCACCACACTGTGATGGCCCCACGGTGGCACCCTGGTCCTGGGTTGTGGTCCCAGCGGCCCCCCCCCACCCCCACCTTGGGGAAGAGTCTGGCCTGCACTGATGGAGGAGGACTCCCCGCCACCGGGGCCTGGAGCACAACGGTGCCTGAGCCCCCGCTTGGCACGGAGCCCTTCTCAGGGAGGACCCAGGGTGGGAAGCAGCAGCCCACAGAGCCTCAGTGGGGGTCAGGAGCAGGGGTGTCAGGAGGAGGGGAGTCAGGAGGAGGGCCAGGAGGAGGGGTATCTGGAGGAGGGGTGTCAGGAGGAGGGCCAGGAGCAGGGGTATCTGGAGGAGGGGTGTCAGAAGGAGGGCCAGGAGGAGGGGTGTCAGGAGGAGGGTCAGGAGCAGGGGTATCCGGAGAAAGGTCAGAAGGAGGAGGGTCAGGAGCAGGGGTGTCTGGAGGAGGGCCAGGAGGGGAGTCAGGAAGAGGGTGGAGGTGGGTCAGGAGCAGGGATGTCAGGAGGAGGGGACGCCCCTCTAAAGGGCTGAGGCAGGAAGGGGGTCTGTGAGGCGGCAGGCTCGGGTCTTGAGGGCCCGGGTGGTGGCCGGTGGGATCCCGGGGGTTCTATGGGCTGGCACTGCCGCCCAGGATGAGAGGAGACTTGGGGAGGGGCCCCGGCTGGCTCAGTCCGTGGGGCACGTGACTCTCGGTCTCGGGGTTGTGAGTCGAGCTCTACATTGGGTGCAGAGATTACTTAAGACAAGAAAAAACAACCCCCAACACAATTATAAAGAAGTAAAAAGAAAAAATAGGCGCCTTAGGGAGGTGGGCCTGGGAGGGCTGCTGGGTGGGTGGGGACAAGGGCTGGTGGGGGGTCTCAGCGCTATGGGGACAGGCTAGGACAGTGAAGGGAGGAGTCGGGAGACCCTAAGGGGTGGGTTTGAGCCGCTGTTGGCGGGATTGGTAGTGCCAGTTAGCGAGACTTGACGGGAGAGTTTGGGGCACGGGAGCCGAGAGCTGGGCGTCTCTCTGGGTCCAACCTGGCAGTTGGGGGTGGCCCATCGGGGTCTGGTAGAGGCCGGCTGTGGGTACAGCCATGAACGCTTGGTGTCCAGTGTAGCTCAGGAGCTGGCCACCAGCCCCTCAGGGGGTGTCCTGCCGGCAGCCCCCCACTGCTCCGTGGCTGTCCCGTTTTGCAGGCGACACCTTGTTCGTGGCTGGCTGTGGGAAGTTCTACGAAGGGACAGCGGACGAGATGTACAAAGCCCTGCTTGAGATCCTGGGCCGGCTCCCTCCAGACACGGTAGGTGGGGCCCCACGGAGCGAGGTCCTCACCTCCCGCCTGTCCTGTCCCCCGTGTTGGGAAGAGTGGGAAGGCAGAGGCATTTCCTCTGGAAGCGTGGCTTTTCTTGTACTATTTATTGCTGTTTAACGTATGCGCGAGAAATGCCCGTTGTCCTCAGGGACACCTCGGTGCATGTCGCTAAAAGGACCTGGCCCAGAGCCCCGCATGCGTGTCTGCGAGGGCTTTGAGGACAGATCACGGAGACTCTCTGAACTCACAGTTTGGTGTTCTCCTCAGAGAGTGTACTGCGGCCACGAATATACCATCAACAACCTCAAGTTCGCGCGCCACGTGGAGCCCAACAATACTGCCATTCAGGAGAAACTGGCCTGGGCCAAGGTGAGTGGGGCGCCCCGGGAGGGGGTGCGTCCGCGGGTCCGTGACCCCGAAGTGCCTCTCTGGGAGCAGCGCTGTCAGGGCGCGGTGTCCAGTGTGGGCAGAGGGCGCTCCTCCTGGCCGGCAAGCCAGTCTGGTCTCGGAGCGGCCCTCCTGGAACTCCGCGAGGAAGGCCCAGTTCTCTGGTTAATGTCCTTTCTGACACAGTGGGGCCGGGTTGGGCCTGGGAGTCTGCATTTCCAGCAGGTGCCCGGGTGAGGCCGGCGCCACGGGTCCCTGTTCTGTGCCCCACGTCCTGAGCACAGGGTAGGGGGGACCGTGAGTGAGCACCTCCGCTTCCCGTTTGGGGAAAGCGCACCTGCCGGCCAGCGGCGGGATTTGCCCCAGAGGCTGCTAGTCCGAAAGGCGTTGATTTCCGTGGCGACCCCTAGGGGTGCTCAGAGGTGTGGCTGCAGGGGTGGCCTACTGTCCCGGAGGCGTCTTCAGTGGGGCGTCTGCAAATGCTGCTGCAGGTGGGTGGGCTGAGGGAGGTGCCCCTGGACTTGGGGGCCCTTCCCCATCCGGTGGCTGACGGGTGTCAGTAAGCCACACCTGGAGGCCTCAGGTGCCGCTGGGCCTTCTGCTCTGTTCATGACCAGTGCTACTTTGGAGTTTTGTTTCTTAATAAATCACCTGTTTTTTTTTTAGCATCTTTATCAGGTTTTGGGCACGGGCTCACAAAATAACACCTGTAAGACTTCAGACACTACCTTTTTTAAAAAAAAAATTTTTTTTCAACATTTATTTATTTTTTGGGGGACAGAGAGAGACAGAGCATGAAGGGGGAGGGGCAGAGAGAGAGGGAGACACAGAATCGGAAACAGGCTCCAGGCTCCGAGCCATCAGCCCAGAGCCCGACGCGGGGCTCGAACTCACGGACCGCGAGATCGTGACCTGGCTGAAGTCGGACGCTTAACCGACTGCGCCACCCAGGCGCCCCAAGACACTGCCTTTATCACTTGGTCAACATTATCCCTTTTTTTTCACAGTGCACGTAGGCGAGTATTTTAGTGATCTCCATGAACTCACCCTGTGTATGTACCACACGTACTGTTCCTTTTCATTTAGTAATGGGTCCTGCTGCTTTTTCCATAGCAATCTATTCATACTGAACTAATTCGCTTCGTAGTTACCTACTTTTATTAAAAATTTTTTTAAGTGTTTATTTTTGAGAGTGAGAGAGACAGAGTGCGAGTGGGGGAGGGGCAGAGAGAGAGGGAGACACAGAATCTGAAGCAGCTCCAGGCGCTGAGCGGTCAGCACGGAGCCCGACGCGGGCCTCTAACCTACGTGGGGCTCAGGTCATGACCTGAGCTTCACTGAGCCCCCCAGGCGCCCCCGTGCACATTGTACTAATTTGCTTCATAGTTATCTACTTCTAAAAAACTAATCTTAACTGAGGATACTTTCCATTTGATAAAACATACCGGTGTTGAGTGAGCAGTACACGGTTTGATGACTTTTGACAGTATGTGCCCCTGTGTGAGCCCCCCACCCCCAGTCGAGATTCAGAGATTCCCTTGTCACTCTGCTTTCACCCCCCAGCTGCAGATCGGCTGTCGCGTAGGTCACTCTGTTCTGGAGTCTCGGAAACAGAGCCGCAGAACACTGGCCGTGTCTGGCTCTTCAGCTCAGCGTCACTGGAGATCCGCTCCCGTTCTTGGTTTCCGAGCGGTGCGCTGTACTGCACTTTGTTTATCCGCGGTGGATGGACTCTTGGGTCGTTTCCGGCATTTTGCTATTGTAAACCAAGTTGCCGTGAACCTCTGTGCGCACGTCTTTGTGTGAACACAGGTTTCCCGGTGTGTGGGTACAGACCTGGGGCAGCGGGGCCCGGCCGCCTGAAGTGTACGTTTAACTTTGAAGAAGCTCCCGAGCCTCTTGGCCCGCCCTCTGGGGACGTGTAAGCCCCAGGGGCTCCCGGTGCGTAGGTATCGCCGACGTTTTCAATTTCAGCCGTTCTAATAGGCGTGTAGCCGTGTCTCCCTGTGGTTTTAAAGTTTCCGTTGCTCTGGTGGCTGTCGGCCTCTTACAGGCCCTCTTTTGTGAAATGTCTGTTCAAATCTTTGGTCCGTTTGAAAAACTGAACTCAGTTGCGAGAATTCCTTATGTATTCTGGAAACACGTCTTTACCAGATACATATCTCAAATATTTTCACCCGGTCTGTGGCTTGCCCTTTTATTTTCTTAAGTGTCTTTTCCGGAATAAAAGTTTACACTTTTGATGAAGTTCAGTTTGTTGATATTTTCTCTTTACACCCTTTGTGTCCTAAGAAATCTTTGCACACCCCTTGCCTCCAAGACTCTGTGCTGTGTTTTCTCCTGAAAGTTGTATGGTCTTAGCTCTTAGGGTCATTCAGATTTATACTTAGGCCCGTGATCCTGCTCGTATCGACGTCGGTGTCCGTGTGAGGTCGGGGTGCGAGTGCATTTGCTTTTGCAAGTTGACGTCCTACCGCACAGCACCATTTGTTGGAAAGATCGTCCTTTCCTTGTTGGATTACCTTGGCGTCTTTGCTAAGTAAAACGGACCGTGCAGGCGTGAGTCACCTCTGGACCCTCCTCGCTGTTCCGTGGGTCTCTGGGCTTCTCCATCAATAGCAGATGGTCTCAGTTACCGTAGCTTGTGGTAAGTCTGGGAATCAGGCTGTATGAATCCTCCAATTGTGATCTTTTTTTTAAAATTGGTTTTGGCTCTTTGAAGAGCTTTGCATTTCCATAGAAATTTTAGGATCCTGTTAATTTTTACAAAAAAGTCAGCTTGGCTTTTGATTGGGACTGTGATGCAACAAAAGATTTGGAGAACTGAGATCTTCACAGTATTGAGTCTTTTCATGAATATACTGTCGCTTTCCATTTACTGAGGTCATCAGTTCCTCTCGGCAGTCTTTTATAATCTTCGTTGCTAAAGAAGCTGTGCAGGTTGTTAAATGTATCCTTAAGTACTTCACATTTTTGTATTTGGCTGAAAATGATTATTGTTGAAGTCTTCAGCAATACAAATGATACTTGTTTGGTCTTGTATCGTGACCTTGCTAAGCTCCCTTACTCTAGCGTCTTTTTCGTAGATTCCTTAGCACTCAATCACGTCATTGGCTAAAGAGACACTTTTCTTCCTTCTTTTCCGATTGATGTGCCTTTTATTTACTTTGTTGGCCTAATCACACCGGCTGCAGTCTCCGGTACGATGCCGAATAGAGACGGTGGGAGCGGACACCTCTGCTTTGTTCCCGGTCTCGGCGGGGAAGCATTCGGTGTGTCACCCGTACGTTAGCTGCAAGTTTTTTGTGATCTTTCTTAGGTTAAGGGCGTTCCCTTCCGTTCCTGGTTTTCTGAGAGTTTTAATCACGAGTGGGTGTTGAATTCTGCAAACTGACTTTTTCTCTAGTGTGTAACCATATTTTGTTTTTACTGTTAATATGGCGGGGTACATCGATTGGTTTCATTTTTTTTTTTAATTTCTTTGGAGAGAGAGGCAGAGAGAGGCTCCGTACTGATGTGGGGCCTGATCCCACGAGCTGTGAGACCATGACCTGAGAAACCGAGAGTCGGGTGCTTAAGCGGCTGAGCCCCCCGGGTGCCCCCTCAGTTGGTTTCAAATGTTAAACCCACCTTGCTTTCTGGACAGACTTTGTCATGCTGTGTTACGCTGCCACAGTCCCTCTGTGTCTGTGTTCACAAGGGATATTGGCCTGTAGTTTTATTTTCTTGTAACGTGTTTGGTCTCAGTACTGGGGCAGCGCTGGCCTCATTAAGTGACTCGGAAGGTGTTTCCTCGTATTTTCTGAAAGAATCTTTCTGTGAGACTGTTTTTTCCTTTAATGTTAGAATTCACCACTGGAACCATCTGGACGTTGAATTCTCTTTGTGGAAAGATGTCGTCGTCGTTGTTAGAAGTGATGTCTGTCTTTTGCGTAGGGCTCTTAGATGTTTGCACCTTCTCGAGTCCATTTTGTTAGCAGCTTCTGTCTTTCAAGGAACTGTGTACATTTTGTCAAGGTTTTCAAATTTGTTGACGGTTTTCACGCTGTCTTTCTCGAGTGTCAACTCTGTGGTGGTACAGTTCACATGTGATAAACCGCATCAGTTTCAAGTGAAGGGCCGAGTGAATTCTGACAGATAAACTGACACCACTGAAACGACGACCATTCCGATGAAGACACAGAATGTTCCACCACCCCCGAAAGGCTTCTTCACGCCTCACTGTCTTCGCGGCTCCGGACACCTACCGATCTGCTGGGTGCCCTAGAGCCGTTGCAGTTTTTAGAATTTCGTGTAAACGGAAGGTACCTTATGCACGGTCTCCTCTTTACTCAGCAGCAGGATTCGGAGGTGCACCCCTGCTGCTGCGTGTCAGGAGTTGATTCCTTTCACCGCCGAGCAGTATTCCATTATTGGGTTTAGACGTTTGTGCTGTTTCCGGGCGTTGGCTGCTGTGAACCTCTGTGCACAAATCCGTGTGTGACACACCCTTTCGTTTCTCTCGAGTAAATACCTAGGAGTGAAACGGGTAGGTAGTAGCGGTGTACGTTTGACTTGTAGAGAAAGTGCCGAGTTGGCTTCCTAAGTGGCTGTCACTTTACATTCGTGTCAGCCGAGTGTGAGAGTTCCACTCGTTCCACAAGCTCTCCAGCCCTCGGCATCGTCACTCGTTGTGGTTTTAGTCATTCTAATGGGTACGTAGTGCAGTCGCATTGTGGTTTTAGCTTGCATTTCCCTAGTGTCTCAAAACGTTGAGCATCTTTTTATGTGCTTATTGGCCATTTTGTGAACTGTGTGTTCAAATAAATCTTTTAGCCATTTAAAAATTTGAACTAATTTTCGATCACAAGAGAATTTTGTAAGTATATGCTGGACGCAAGTGCTCTGTTGGCTGGTTTCTCTCGTTCTGTGGATTTCCTTTTATTTTTTTGACAATGTTTTTTGAAGAGCATTTTTAATTTTGATAATCAAGTCCAGCATATTAACTTTTTTATGGTTCATACTTTTTGTCTCTTATCTAAGAAATATTTGCTTTACCCAAGTTCAAAAAACATTAAAAAAAATTTTTTTTTTGACACTTATTTTTGAGAGAGGGGCAGAGAGAGAGGGAGACACAGCATCCGAAGCAGGCTCCAGGCTCTCTCTCAGCTGTCAGTACAGAGCCTGATGTGGGGCTCCAACTCGAACCGCGAGATCATGACCCGAGCTGAAGTCGGACATTTAACCAGGCGCCCCAGCACTCATTTTAATAGATAATCTACAAGGTGATGACCGTGTATGGTTCTCTGACTATACGTGTCAAGACGTGTTTTAGAATTATCCTTAGAAGCGTTAACTTGTTTCCTTCCCTCATAGGAGGTGGAGAAGGAATTCTCAGGAGGAGTGAATACTGGAGGAAGCAGGGAATATTCTAAAACACCCAGCTTGTTTTCACCAGAAGGGGAGGATCAGAGATTAGCGACAAGCCTTCGTCTTGACCTCCCGCCAGACCCCTACTTGGCATCCCACCCGCGGTTGAAGGATCCCCTCTTGCCACCACTGGTCACGTTTGGGGGTGGCACCGGGACCGTCGGGTCTGAGGGCCCTGCGTGTGGGTGCTGACAGGTGCTGTCCAAGCTCTGACCCTGTGGCCCTCGAGATCAGCCCGGCAGAAGAAGGGCAGGGGCCACAGGGAGGGCGGAGACCCCCAGCTGCCAGCTGACATCCCGCACAGGTCCGTACAGAAGTGACCAGTGGGCCAGATGGTGCTGATCAGGAGTGAAACCATCCCGACCGGAGGGCTCGTCCTGGGTTTTTCTCCTGGGGAGCCTGTGACGAGAGCTTGCCGCCTTCTAGAGGGGCTGTGAGCCCAGGGCAGGGACCACGGGCACCTGTCACCTCGCTCTTGCAAGCAGTGAGCTGTGCAAGGCCCATGACTGGTCTTGGTGCAGGGCTGGTGGTGTTTTCTTCTGCGTTTTCGCTGGTTATTTTATCATGTAAAACACACACTTCATATCAGCGTAAAAGTTTTCGCGTCCCCCTCCACTTCCAGGACAGCAAGGGGAGAAGGGACAACTTGTCGGTGGTGGCCGGGACACTCGCGTCTCCACAGAGGGAAGTGGCCCGTCCTTGCACTGACCTGACCCCGTTCACTTTGCCTTCCGAGTTGGATGATATTTTAAGATTACAAAGTACTCTGAAATGTTCCTTTAGATGTTTCCGTTTTCACGTGACCTCTGTCCTCTGCAGGAGAAGTATGGTATCGGGGAGCCCACAGTGCCGTCCACCATCGCGGAGGAGTTCACCTACAACCCGTTCATGAGAGTGAGGTGAGGGGCGTGGGCACCTCTGGGTCGCCCTCGTGCCGCCGGCGGGGGCCCGCTCACCAGTCCCTGCAGCTCCCGGGTGGCTCAGGCGACGCCACGGGGTCTTAGCAAGTGCCCTGAGCCTAGGAAGTAGGCGGCTTTGTCAGGGGTGCTCTCCTTACACGTGGCCAGGGTGTGGGGTCCTTTCTGACACCGCAGTCGGGATCCACGCGTGGGCAGGCACGGTCCCCGGGGCGCTGCCGGGAGCCAGCGTGGAGTCCGTGTCCCCCGTCTCTGGGTCACTGGCAGGACGGCTTGGCCAGCAGGCCTTCTACCGTTAGGAACACGCGAGTTGGCCGTTAGTGCCGGCCTTTCATTTCGAAGAACGTCCCGACTTCGGCCTGCTCTTTTCTGCCCTGGGGCCCCGGGACCCCAGGGGCCCTGGGGCGGGCGGCGGGCCGGGGGGGCACCACGTGCGGCCCGCAGCCTGGCCTTCGGCTTCCGCAGGGAGAAGACGGTGCAGCAGCATGCTGGCGAGACGGACCCGGTGACCACCATGAGGGCCATCCGCAAAGAGAAGGACCATTTCAAGGTGCCCCGGGACTGAGGTGGCCGTAGGGCCTGGGGCGCCCGTGGCCGCTGCCGCCTTCAAGCACATTTTGGGTGTTCGGATGTTTTAGGTGAATTTCCTGCCATGAGTGCAGGAAATTCAATTTGGCTTAATTTTAAATTAATTTCAGAGCCCTTTGCCAGTGTTATCAGATGTTCTAATGCATATTTATAAGAGAAGTCTAGAAAATGTATTATTCCCCGATGCTCTGCTTGCGGACTCTCTGTTCTCTCTGGCCTTCGGTGGGGCCCTGGTCCTCGCCGTGTGAGCCCCACATGGTGCCCTGTGAGCGCCGGCCCCCTCCCCGCCCCGTGCCCCCCAGAGCAGGACGCCTGGGGGACGGCGTCGCCCTCACCTCCTTCTCTGGTGGGTCCTGTGGCGTCCTCTTCATAGAGCCGTTTCCGTGTGGACGTGGAGTAGAACCCCAGCCCCACCTGGGGCACCGGCCTGGGCCGGGGCAGTGAAGGGTTCGTCGACACAGCGTTTCTGTGCTTGGGACCTCCGCCCCACGGTGCCCCGATCCCTGGGTGCCTGGTCCTGGGCCGCCCGCAGGGACAGGCGTGGATACCGTGCCTCGTGTGGATGAAGGAGCTCTCCGATGTGACCGCTGGCACCTTGCCGCCCCCGCTGAGGTTTGATCCATCTGGCCCCCCTGCAGGGAGAGGCCCCCATCACCTTCGCCCTGGCCGAAGTGCGGGGAGGCCAGGTCCCTGACCTGCGTGTCCTTGCCCTGAGTTCCCTCTGCTTTTGCCGGAGGAAACCCCGAAAGCCGCTGTCCCAGGCAGCGGCCATCTCCTCAGCCAGCCGCCACAGGCCAGACCCGGGCTGGGGGAGCGGGGCGGGCTCTGGCTGCACTGAGCCTCAGCCCAGGTGGGGGTAGCGGGAGGACCCAGAGGCGGGACAGGGAGGGATGAGGCTCGGGGCCCAGCCGGGGGCAGGACGGGCTGCTCACGTGTGCACCCGGAGGTCTTCCCGGTTCCGACCCGACCTCCTCCGCTCGGCTCTGCCCTGCGACGCACGGCGCCCGAGGCTCTGCCTGCCCCACCCTCTCCTGCTGGACGGCCCACGGTTAGTGCTTCTCGTCCAGCTGAGGTTGTCTCCCGCCACTCTCCTCAGACGGCCTCCGGTCGCCAAGGACCTGTGCAGGTCCTGGCTCCGCAGCTGCCCGTGTGGCCACGGTGCCGTGCGGCCGGGGAGCAGTCACCCTTGTCCAAAGAGGAGGATGCCTTAGGTGGAGCCTCAGCCCCCCTGCGCCCCCAGGTGTGTCAGGGAATGGGGTTTCTGTGGGTCCTTATAGATGCTTCATTTTGTAGCTCTGTACCGCCAACTGGGCGTAGTGGCGTGGTCGTCTCAGGATGCGTCGTGGTGCTTTGCGAGGCCTGTCGGTACCGGAGAGCGCGGGTATCCGGTGTGGCCCTCTGCTGTGCCCCACCCGGCTGGGCCCTGTGCGTGAGCAGTTCTCGTGTAGCCAGGGACCCCACGGCCACCGCCTCCCCAGCCCACCTCCACCCCACCCCATGGGGATGTGTTTCCTTAGTTTTCGTGTTACCGACTGCACATTCAGATGCCAAAGAAGAGAAATAAACGTTTCTGAAACGTATGAACACAGAAGCACGCTCCTGCACCCGGCCTCTCCCCACCCCGGGAGCCCCGGATAGCAACTCCCTTTGCACATGTTGTCCTTGGTGGTGGGACCCACTGGGCCACCCCCACTGGCTCTTGGGCTGTGGCGCGGCTCAAACGCTCTCACGTGGGCCCCAGCTGGCCGTGGAGGACGGGCACTTCCACGCGGGAGAACGTGCTGGCCCATCCGGTGGAGGAGTCTTGTCCGCCGCGCGAGGGTGTGGACCGCCCTGGGGCTGCTCCACGGGCCTCACGTGTGCTGGCGTCTGCGGCCCCCCGGGAAGCGAGCGGGGCGCTCCGTGGAGGCTGCACGAGAACCGGCGGGGACGGGGTAGGCTGGCCGTGTGCGTTTCCGACCCCGGGCTGCCTCTCCTCTCTTCTGGCCAGTGTTCTGCTGGCTTTGCTCCTCGCCGACCTTCCCCGTTGAGGGTCAGCCGCGCTCCGGTCACACGTGTTTGAGTTGGTCGCTCCGCACTCTGTCGTATTACTGAAGAAATCTTTGATGGAGTCAAGTTCGTGTCTCCTACTTTCCGTCCTCTGCTGCCCTCCTGGTTACGTGCTTGCTTCTGACACTCGTGTTTGTAATTCACGTGAAGATGCTGTTATGCTGGTGGTCGGTGGTTTGCCTCCCTGGAGGCACTTTACGTCCCCCCTGCTCGTCTGCACCGCCAGCCCGAGGGCCCGCATCCGGGGGTGCAGACCCGTTCTGAGGCCCCACATTCCCCCTTACTACAGCTTTAGAATAAGTCTTTGTTTCTAGGAAGGGACACGGCCCCACCCGGCCCTTTGCCCGTATGTACGAACGTTAGAGTATTGACGGCTGTGGTTTGGGCCGGAATAGGGTTCACCGGATTTCTGGACTTGTGACAAGTGTCAGGCCATGGACATGCCCCCCGTCTGGCATTAGGGTCTCTGCTGCTCTTCCCGCTGCTAAAACTCGTGTAGTGCCAGTGTCCGCGTGGCCCTGTGACTGAGGCTCGCGGTCCCCAAAGAGACTGTCCCCTCAGATGGCTGTAAGCTTGGGCCCCCCCAGGCCTCCTGCCCTTCTGACCACCTGGCTGCGACTTCCACGCATTCCCATTGACCCCTCACCTTCCGTAGGTCACCAGCATGGCTCCTAGAACTCAGAGAAGTGCCACCGTGATGATTTCGCAGTGTGATTATAACAGGCACAGCCAAGCAAACAGGGCCCGGAACGTGGGCTGTGCCCGCTGTGGCACACGTGAGCCTGTATTGAGGTGCTCTGGGGTCACTGCATCATCCCTGGCCCCGCGAGTGAACTCTTGCCACCGGGTGGGTCCTTCTGGTAGGACTGTCCCCCTCGAGTGACCGCGTTAAGGTAAATTCAGGTGTGTCGAGGCTGCTGTGACCATGTGGGAAACTCCAAGGAAGTAGAGACTCCCTGCCCGACCCAGGGGAAGGCAGAGCGCCACGCAGCACTTGCCTGGGTGACGTCAGGTGTCACGGCTTCCTTCCCAGACGTCGGTTCTCCGGGAACGTCAGTCCCAGTCTACTTTGTTCTGGTGGTAAATGGCGTCTTTTTCAGATCACATCAGTGCTCAGGAACGTAAAGGAGCACAGTGAGCTTTGTTTAGGGAACCTCCTTTTCCCCACGTGGGCTCCGTTTCCTTCGTGAACTTTCTGTGGTCTTGCTGCTTGGCCTTTTGTCCCGTGGGTCTCCCGTATTGAGGTGGGGGGAGGGGAGAGAGGCACTGCTCCTCGTCCTGAACCCCAGTGACCAGTTTGACAAACACCTGGGGGCCGAGGCCGAGCTCCCCTTGGGGTTGAGTGAACACAGAAAGCCCTGCCCTTGTCGAATTTCTGTCCTGGTAGAGGGACGGAGTGACAAGATGGACATCCTGGGCAGCTCGGACTGAGGAAGCACTAAGGAAAATAAAGTGGGCAAGGAGCAAGCGGGAAGCCTTGTGGCCAGGGAGGTGACGTGAGCAAAAACCAAAGGTTCAGGGAGAGGGCCTTGCTGATCTCTGGGAGAGACCAGCGAGTGCCGAGGCCCTGGGGCAGAAGTGCGCGACGGGAGCCCAGTGTGGCTGAGCCGTGAGGGGAGGCGACTGGGGAGCGGTGGCAGGCGGGTCGGCGGACAGGGTGTGGGGGGACCCTGAGGGCCACTCGCAGCCGTGTGGAGGTGGGGGCGGGCAGGTCTCCACGGGATCTCGAGTGCTGTGGGGCCGCAGGGGAGGCCAAAGGGTTCGCAGCGTGAGCCGAGCGGTGAGCACGCGGTTGTGGGGGGTCCAGCTGCGTCCACTGGGGCGGGGGGCGGGTCCAGGCCGAAGCGCGCCCTCGGGAGTCGCCAGCACCCGGGAGGCTGGGCGCGCTAGCGGGGCAGTGAGGTGGGGACGCTGGGGCGCCAGCAGGACACGCAGAAGTGTGGCTGAAAGTCACCCCCAGGGGAACCGGGCTTCGTCACACGCTTTCCTCTGGTCTGGCCAACTCTACGTGAGTGTGTTGGCGGCTGCACTCTGGCCTTCCTTGTACAAGCCCGGTCTGCTTCCTGTAAATGACGGCAACACGGTGCGGGGGGGCAGGGGGAGGTCTCTTCACTCGTGGGGAGCTCGAAGGAGGTGATTCTGCTGGGAGCCTGGTGCTGGCTCTGTGCACTTTTTCACACCACCGGCTCCCTTCGTAAACGGTTATGGGCTATCCCTCCGTGGGTTTCAGCCACTTGGGGAGACGTCTTTCTTTGCAACATTTTCTTTTTTCTCTTTTCAAGAATTAAATCTCCATACCCAGTGTGAGGCTTGAACTCACACCCCACTGAGCCAGCCAGGCACCCTCCTTCCAGCATTTCCTGAAGAGGTCAGGGGTGCCCTCCTGCTCGCTGATCTCTTGCTGTGGCTCCCGCCTCCTGGGCTCCTAGGTGTCGCCTTTCTGAGCACGGATGCGAAGCTGGGAGCCTGTCCCAAGTGGGCGGTGCGGGGCACGGCGGTGTGGCTGGGGTCTGGCGTGGCTTCTCTCCTTCACCTCTTCCCTGACAGGTGGGGGCTCTGAGGCGGCCCGTCCTCCTCCCATCGGGCACGAGCCCAGGGCCCCGTGGCCCGGGGAGGAGTGGAGTCTCTCCCGAGGGCCGTGTGCCTGCTTGCCTGGCTGGGGTCTGTCTGCCCTGCTGTGGTGCTGCTCTCCAGCTAGGAAGGCGCTGGGGTCTTAGCGGTGACCGGGCCTTACTAATCAGAACCTACCACATGTCTCTGTGTACGAGGTGAGGTCCACAGCAGTGACCCGAGTGTGTGTTTCAGGGCCTTTGAGGAATTTCATCGTGGTGTAGCCCCCTGAACTTTTCATCATTAACATGTCAGTGAAACCATAAAAGCAGAGGCTTCTCTTGGTCCATCTCCCCAGGATGCCGATCCTGGGCCGGAGCAGCAGGGAGGCCTGGGACGTGGTCTGGTGTGGGGCCCACAGATCCAGACGGCGAGACACCTGTGCCCATGTGCCGCCGGGGCTCTGTCTGCATCAAAGGTCAGCCCTTAGCAGAGGTGGGGGTCAAGCCCATCCGGGGTCCCATCGTGGCCAGGTGGGTGTGTGTAGGCGGGGAGAGGGGGGCGAGGAGGCAGGACACCACATCCTGTGTCTTCCTTCCCCGGCTACCAGCTCAGACAGGTGTCATAATTATGTGTCACCTGGAACCCTGACTTTCTAAGAGTCCTCTGATGAAGCAGCAAATGAATGGCTCCTGTCCACTGAGTGGGCGTGGCAGCCCCTGGGGACAAAGAACACTTCGTATGTACAGCGTAAGCAAGAGTACAACTGAGAAATCGCAAGGAAGTAAGTAACGTAGCAGTAAGGATTAGAGGTCTTAATTCTCGGCAAGAGCCAGACCGCGTCGATGCCATCGCCGAGGACGCGGAAGGAGCACGGCGCGCGACTGCTCGACGGAACCCGCCTGGGTTCAGAACGGCCCGCGCAGCGGCGTCCTCAGGCACAGACCACAACTCCGGCCATGGAACAAGTCGTCCTAAGTTTTCAGAAGCCAACGCATACAAAATACGTCCTCTGACCCCAGCGGAATTAGTTACCTGTGGCGGAACGAAGTGAGGAAAACCTCCCCCCGTTTAGAAGTGAAGTAACAGATCTCTAAGCTTGTGGGTCAAAAGAAGCAAAAGCGGACACCAGCGTCTGTCAGACGCAGACAAGCCCAGGGCCTCCTACCCCTGCACAGAAAAGGCTTCTACCTCAGGAAACTAGAGAAGAGCAAGAGAAACACAAAGGAAGAAGACAGGAAATCAGCCGGACGGTAAACCCACAACTCTCTGAAAAGATCATCAAGTTGACAGACCCACAGTGATACAACACCCAGGTTCCCAAATTCACGCGGGAGACGGGACCGGACCACCCACCCTGCAGAAATAAACGTCAAGGCCTCTCCAGGAATGCGAGTGAACGACACCGATGAATTCCTACAGACACAAATCACTTAAACAGACTCAGAAAAAAGCCAGAAAAACACCACAGACCTGTAATAAGAAACTGAATTAACACAGAAAGTCTAAAGTTCACACAAAGGAAGAGCCTGGTGACTTCACGGAGCCTTCAGTCAATACCACCCATCACTCACAAACTCTTTCAGAAGACAGAGGGACGCTTCCCAGCTCCTTTGCGACGCAAGCCTGGGCCCGACAGAAGACGTTGGTGTCCCTGGTGAACCTAGATGTTAACTTTGTAACACAGCATCAGTAACCCAAATACGGCAGCACTGGCACCATCAGCCGCACACCTGAAAACCAACAGACGTCGCGGCCCATCCTAGGGGAACGAAGGACAATCCACGGGATCAACTCAACGGGCGCAGCGCAACAAGGAATGAAACCCGGCACGTTCGTGGTGAGAAGTGTCCAACCGCGGGAAGGCAGCTTCCTTGGCCTCAGGAAAAAAGACACCCGTGTGAAGTTTCCTCGCGGACCTCGTGCCGGCAGCCTTGAGTCGGACCTGGGCCACGCCGGACCACAGTGCGTCCTCCAGGAGGCGTCCTACTGCCGGAGGCGCCCACATTCCTCGGCTCCTGGCCTCCTCCCTGTCTACTCCCCGCCCGTGGTTGGGGTCCTCTCACTGCCTACGCCCGCCCTTTCTGACCTCCCGCTTCCACCGTCAAGGACCCCTGTGGTGACACTGGGTCCATCTGGAAAACCCAGGTTAGTCTCACTATCCAGGCTGATCAGCACCTCCACTCCCTTTGCCCGTGCAACCCGACACAGTACGGATTCCGGCGGAAGGACAGGGTATCTTCGAGAGCATCATTCCGCCTGTCAGAGCATCAGAAGTCATGGTGACGGGCTGAATGCTCGCCTCCAACACCAGGGGCAGGTGAGGGAGGTGTGCTCTCGCCTCCGTACTCCACATCGTACTGGGCGTGCAGTGAGGCACAGAAAGGAACAGAAAAGGGGTAGTACACAGACTGGAGAGAACAAGCGAACACGTTCTTAGTCACAGCTGACAGGGTCCTACGGAATCCAGATACATGCACACACCTGGCCGGTGAGTTTGACGGTCCCGGACACAAGATCGGTAAGAGAAATACAGGATCTTTCTACCTGCTAATGACCACCTGGAAATGAAATTCAGACCACTTCATTCACAACAGCACCAAGACTAATAACATAAGTAGAACCTATTTTATCAAAAACACAAGGGGTACCTGGGTGGCTCAGTCGGTTAAGTGTCCAACTCTTGCTTTCAGCTCAGGTCGTGATCTCAAGGTTGTGAGTTCAAGCCCCACATCAGGCTGTGTGATGAGCAAGTATCCTGCTTGGGCTTCTCTGTCTCTCTCTCTCTGCTCACGCTCGCTCTCTTGCTCTGTGTGAAAATAAGTAAACGTTAAAGTTAAAAAATAGTGTCAAGTTTAGAAAACTTACGGAGTACCTTCCCATTTACTTACATCTTGTCTCTTGATCAGAAGAACTTTGTGATCTTGGGTTAGGCACACAAAAAGCATAAAACACAAAAAACCTCAGTAAGCTGGACTTCACTAAACTTTCACGTTTCAAAGAACAAGGTTTTATTTATTTATTTATTTATTTTTTTAACGTTTTTTATTTATTTTTGAGACAGGGAGAGACAGAGCGTGAACAGGGGAGGGTCAGGGAGAGGGAGACACAGAATCTGAAACAGACTCCAGACTCTGAGCTGTCAGCACAGAGCCCGATGCGGGGCTCGAACTCACAGACCGCGAGATCGTGACCTGAGCCGAAGTTGGCCGCTTAACCGACTGAGCCACCCAGGCGCCCCAAGGTTTTTTTTTGTTTTTTTTTTTTTTTAATTGGTAAGCCACAGGCAAGGAAAAGTATCTGTGAGTATCGTGTCTGATAACCAACAATTAAAGTCTGACAACTCAGAAAACAATTTAAAAACGTCCAAGATTCAGATCAACACCCCGCCCGTGAAGACGAGCACCACTGTGCACATGAGAAGGCGCTCGGCCCTAACTGTCCACGACACGGAGGGTCGCGGGATGGGAGCAGCTGACCTGCAGACAGCACACCCCGCGTGCGGGTGAGGACGAGACCCAGCTGGAACGCTCCCACTTCTCACAATGTCACGCTTTTGAGAATGGTTTTTTAAAAAGTCAGACGTAAGGGGTGCCTGGCTGTCATGAGAGCACGAGAGTTGATCTTGGGGGTTTGAGCCCCACGTCGGGCATAGAGGCTACTTAAAAATAAAATCCTTAAAAAGTTATACATAAATATCTTGTGAAGCAGCAATTCCACTCCTGAGAACCTACTGGAAGGACGAGACACACGTCCACACCAAGACTTGTATCTAAGCGTTCACGCCAACGCTGTAGCAGCCCCCAAAACAGAAACAAAGCAAACGCCCATCAGCTGGCGAGTGGACCCACACATGGTGCAGATCCCTAGGGCGACAGCCGTTAAGCCAACAAGGCACGAAGGACTCACACGCTGCTGTGTGGGGGATGCACAAGACCACAGAGCGCACACAGGGTCCTGTAGCGGGGGGGGGGGGGGGGCACGCCGTCCAAACCGCAGGGCTGTGCGCTTTCTACGCATCACAAGGCTGTTGGCACGGAAGAGAGCCGTCGGTAAAGGCGTCGCGCCAGCTAACGCTCACTGTGCCACCCCACAAGCGACAGGCGCGTCCGGCCCGGACTGATGGGAGACGGAACCCAAGGGAAAAAAAGGGATCAAATAATATCAAGAAGCAACAACCACCTAGGAGAAAACCTACACGTGACCCGAGATCCCAGGAGCACCGAGAGCGCCGCGTGCGGGGGCGGGAAGACAGCATGGTGAGAACACCTGTCCGCCACGAACCTGAGCACGACCCTCACCCCGACAGGCTCCGGTTTCGGCTCACACACTCGGCAAGCTGCTCCCACGACATTTGAGGAACCAAAAGGGGCCACGCGCAGGTGGCTGGACTGCTCCGGCGGGGATCTGCTCCACAAGCCACGGACACCTCCCCACACCCTCTGGCCTCGGGGGCAGCCCCCCATGGCCGGGGGCCCCGACATCGTGTCCACACGCATATCCACGGTGCACTCTGGTCCCTGTGGCACATGGGATGTGACCACACGAGGGTCTGCACGGTCAGGACTCTGGGTTTGCTGTCCCTCAGGCTGGCACCCGAGGAACCCAGCTCAGTGACCCTGCAGGGTCTAGGGACAGCAGGCAGGATGCCACGGCCCACATGTGCCCGATGGGGGACTTGTATCCGGAGAAGAAGTTTTTAAACACACACATCAGACTACCCGACAATCGAACAAAATCACAAAATGGGACATTTCCCCTGCGACAAGCCCGAGGTGCTGGTGCGTCACCAACATTTGACAAACAGACGACAGCCGACGTTCACTCCCCTTTGGGGCCGGGGACGGCCGGGGCGGGGGTGCGGTGTGCGACTCGACTGCCCAGAGCAATCCAAGTGTCGTGCCCCGAGGTCTGAGCTGGATGCCAGGACCGCCCAGCCTCCACGACAGCAGCGGCCAAAGCCAGTGTGCTAACCCCGTACACAGAAGCTTGGGAGCGAAAGACGCCGCGCGCCTCGGGCAGACCCCCGGGTGGTCAACCGTGCATGGCAGGCGCATCAAGAGACCCGGCAGCCAGGACAGGCCGCTCTGGGAGGCCTGGGGCGCCGGGGACAGGCTGGCGTTGCGGCAACCCCCAGCCCCCCGAGTTCTCCAGCGCCCCACCCGGGATCTATAGACAGCACGGTCCCCTCCCCATGCTCACCCTCCCTTCCCGACGAGGGTCCTCGGCCACGAACGTGCTGAGTCCGCACTTTGCGCTGTGTCAGTGCGTGTTTACCGTGTAAATTTCTGGGCGTGGACTTTCTCCCGGCAGATCTATAATTTCTCAGAACGACCTGGAAATCAATCAAAGCTCAATAAAGGGAGAGATAAAGCTACCCTCACCCCCAGGCATGAGCAGCTCAGGCAGGGCAGGGGCGAGGCAGGGTGGGGGGCTGGGGAGGGGCGCCGCAGCTGCCCACTGTCCCCTCCATGGGGCTGTGAAGCAACCGCCTCCCTCCGTGTCGCCTCGTGGTGGGGGCGTCACGTTGGAGTCTGAACGTCCGCAAGCCCTGCCTCCAGCCCCGCCTGCGCAGCCAGAGGAGGGCCCCGTGGGCAGAGACCGGGAGGCGGGGCTGGAGGGCCGACTGCACCCCGCCAGCCCCAGGGAAGAGGGGTTCTGGGCAGCCAGAGCAGAGGCCGGTGGATGAAGGTGCAGCAGGGCTCCCCTCGCTCGAGCAACCAGCACCTTGCCGCCCCCCTACTTCCTGGCCTGACCCGGGGCTGCCCGCGGGCCAGGCGCTGGGCTGCCATCCTGTGCGGAGCGGGGTGGCCGTGCCCGCCCCCCCCCCCCCCCCCCCCCCACAGCTCCGGGGACATCAGGAGTCCCAAAGCAGGTGGAGGCTGGTCTTGCGGCGCAAGACCCGGCCCCCAAGGCTGGGCCTCCCTCCGCTCTTCCCGGGAGGGCAGTGCTAGGAAAGCAAACACGAGGTGGCCGGGAGCCCGGCTGCTGTTCCTAGAAGAGGCTGGGGGAGGAGGAGCGGCCAGACACCAGCTGACCCTGAGGTCGCAGAAGCCCCGGGGAGTCCTAATGAGGACCCCACCCAGGCTGTTAGGAAACGGGCAGGGGGAGGGAAGGTGTGGCCAGCATGCCAGACCCAGCTCCTACTTAACTCCCACGTGGCCATCTGCTGAGCGGGGAGGTCCCCCACAGCGGCCCGAGGGGCCCCCACCTGGGCTCCGGGGGCTGGCCAAGCAGCGGGGCCTCCTCTCTCGGCTTCCCCAAAGCTGTCCCAACCACAGGCTGCTGCAGGGGAGACCCCTGCCCCCACACGCCTGCTGCCCCAGCTCTGCTCCGCTCAGCCCTGCAGGGCGAAGGTGGGGGGACACGCCCGTCCCCCAGAGCTGCACCACCGCCCACCTCGATCCCCAAAGGTGGCTTCGGGGTGAACGCGGCACCCCCCCCCCCGACTCTCCCCTGTGCTATCTGCACTCTGGGCACTCAGGGCCGATGCTGGCAGCCGGGCATGAGGGGGTTAATGGAACCCGGGTCAGCAGGGCTGGGCTGGCCTGCGGCAGGGTGCTGGCTGCCCCAGCAGTGGGGAAGTCAGAGGGCAGGAGCAGCCGGCCCCAGCAGACGCACCCCTGCTCACTGCCCGCCTGTGGTCCGCTCTGCACGCGGGATGGCCCTGAAGAGAGGTGAGGCGCCCCCAAGTGCCCCGGCCCCTCGTTCTGGGGGCAGCCGGCCCAGTCAGGGGCGGGCCTTTCTGGGTGGGCCGATGGGGGAAGTGTCCCTGCTGGGGTCCCAGAATGCCTCGGGTCCCTCTGTCCACCTCCACTCTGGTCCCAGGGCCCAGGACGGTGGTACAGGGGAAGGGTGGGAGTCCCCTCTCAACCCCCAGAGACCCTCCCCTGGGGACTGCTGCCCTTCCAGCCTTGTGGGGCCTGGTCCCGTCCACAGGGGATGGGGCATGCTCGGACCTCACACTGAGTCCCTGAGCCCTTCCAAGGGCTGGGACAGGCCCAGTTCTGTGGGTAGCCCAGCGTTCAATGCAGGTTTTGGGGTGGCGCTGCCGTGAGGTCCAGCGCCCTCTGTCCTAACACACCCCTGGCCCCTGGCGAGGGGACGGCGTTCTGTCCACCCTGCTTCTGTCCCCATGCCGGCAGCGGGCTGCATATGCCAGGGAGCACCCGTGTGAGGGCCCTCCAGTCTGGGGGCGACGGCCGGCGCTCGAGGGCAGCGAGCACGCGTGACCCGGGCCTGTGCCAGAAAGCCCTCCCGCATTCCCCCTGGGCCCACCTGGCGGCCTGGCCGGTGCCTGTGTTCGGGACGCAGACGGCCGCCCAGCTCTACGGGCAGGTTTCCTCTGGGAAGGGGCATCGCTGCCCTGCCGGGTGGAGAGGACGGTTGGTCTGGAGCCGGACGACAGCTGTCCTGTCTGGCTCCGCTTCTAGTCCCGGCGGGGCGAGTACGACTCGGCTCCCACCTTTCTGCCGCCTGACTGGCAGCGCCTGTCTTTACGGTCACGTGCTGTGGTCTCGGTGCCGAGTTCCATACCGGGCTGCGGGCGCAGGCCGAGGCCTGGAACGTCCCGGGTCTCGCTCGCCCCGGGACTCACGTCCTCCGGCTCCTCTCCTTGCAGGAGGCCCGGCCCTGGCCGTGCTCCTGGTCTCCTGGGCAGCGCTGGGCCCCTGCGGCCTGGAGGGAGCGGAGCCCGGGGCTCTGGGGAAGGCTGAGAGCCCGCAATGCCCAGCCGTCTGCACCTGCGGCCACGAGGACTATTCAGACGAGCTCAGCGTCTTCTGCAGCTCCAGGAACCTCACGCGGCTGCCCGACGGCATCCCGGACGGCGCCAGGGCCCTGTGGCTGGACGGCAACAACTTCTCCTCCATCCCCGCGGCGGCCTTCCAGAACCTCTCCGGTCTGGGCTTCCTCAACCTACAGGGCAGCGGGCTGGCCAGTCTGGAGCCGCGGGCACTGCTCGGCCTGCACAACCTCCACCACCTGCACCTGGAGCGGAACCAGCTGCGGGGGCTGGCGGCCCACACGTTCCTGCACACCCCGGGCCTCGCCTCGCTCGGCCTCAGCAACAACCTGCTGGGCAGGGTGGACGAGGGCCTCTTCCGGGGGCTGTCCGGCCTCTGGGACCTCAACCTCGGCTGGAACAGCCTGGCCGTGCTCCCGGACGCCGCCTTCCAGGGCCTGGCCGGCCTCCGCGAGCTGGTGCTGGCGGGCAACAAGCTGGCCTACCTGCAGCCCGCGCTCTTCTGTGGCCTCGGCGAGCTGCGGGAGTTGGACCTGAGTAGGAACGCCCTGCGCAGCGTCAAGGCCAACGTCTTCGTCAAACTGCCCAAGCTCCAGAAGCTCTACCTGGACCACAACCTCATCGCCGCCGTGGCCCCCGGCGCCTTCCTGGGCCTGAGGGCGCTGCGCTGGCTGGACCTGTCGCACAACCGGCTGGGCGGCCTCCTGGAGGACACCTTCCCCGGCCTGCTGGGCCTGCACGTCCTGCGCCTCTCGCGCAACGCCATCGCGGGCTTGCGGCCCCGCACCTTCAAGGACCTGCACTTCCTGGAGGAGCTGCGGCTGGACCACAACCGCATCCGGCAGCTGCCCGGCCAGGCCTTCGAGGGCCTGGGCCAGCTGGAGGTGCTCACGCTCAACGACAACCAGATCCAGGAGATCGAGGCGGGCGCCTTCCTCGGCCTCCTGAGTGTGGCGGTCATGAACCTGTCCGGGAACTGCCTGCGGGTGCTCCCGGAGCGGGCGTTCCAGGGCCTGGGCCGGCTGCACAGCCTGCACCTGGAGCGCAGCTGCCTGGGCCGCATCCGCCCGCACGCCTTCGCCGGCCTCTCGGGGCTGCGCCGGCTCTTCCTCCGGGACAACGGCATCGTGGCCGTGGAGGACCAGGGCCTGCAGGGGCTCGCGGAGCTCCTGGAGCTGGACCTCACCGCCAACCGGCTCGCACACCTGCCCGGCCAGCTCTTCCAGGGGCTCGGCAAGCTGGAGTACCTGCTCCTCGCCGGCAACCGGCTGGCGGCGCTGTCCGCGGACGCCCTGAGGCCCCTGCGGCGCGTCTTCTGGCTGGATGTGTCGCACAACCGCCTGGAGGCCCTGCCCGAGGACGTGCTGGCCCCACTGGGGCAGCTGCGCTACCTGAACCTCAGGAACAACTCCCTGCGGACCTTCGTGCCGCGGGCCCCCGGCCTGGAGCGCCTGTGGCTTGAGGGCAACCCCTGGGACTGCGGCTGCCCCCTCCGGGCCCTCAGGGCCCTGGCCCTGCAGCAGCCCGACGTGGTCCCCCGCTTCGTGCGGGCAGCGCCGGACGGCGACGACGGCCAGCCGCCCGCGTACGCCTACAACAACATCACCTGCACCGGCCCCGCAGCCATCGCCGGCCTCGACCTGCGGGATGTGGCCGAGGCCCACTTTGCTCACTGCTGACCGCGGGCTCGCCGGCCCAGAGCCCGGCGGGGACACGATGTCCGCCTCGGGGGCCAGGCGTCACCTGCTCGCTTGCCGGGGTCCCGTCCCTGGGAGGACCCGGGGCAGCCGGGGGGTTCTGCTGGCGGGGGCACCGCCATCACATAGCACCCCCGCCCCCGCAGTCGGTAATTAAAAGCAATCTAACACATGCGTGTGACCGCAGGGGTGTAGCCTGGGCGGGGGGTTGGGAAGAAGGGTTCCGTCCCGGGTCCCCGTCCTGTGTCTCCCCACCACCACACCCCTCCTAGGACGCCCGCCCACACCTGAGGGGCGGCAGCACCCACTCCGGGGCCCCGGAACCTCGGCTGTCCTCTTCGTGCAGTGTCCCTGGAGGCCCTGGTCCTGGGAAGCCGAGGTTCAGCCGGGGCAGCCTCCGTTGCCAGCTGGGACACCGGTCTGTGCCCCCAGCTCCTGGCCAAAGCTCTCGGCAGTGCCCCTTTGCCGTCCTTTCCACACCCGGAAGCATCTGTCCGTGGCGCGCCCGCCCCTGTCCCTCAGGAAGTGGGACCGGAGGTTGCCCTCCACCTCGCTCCTCTCTCCTGCTCTCAGCTCTGCCCTGGGCCCTGGGGCGGGAGGCGGCGGGAGCGGCTAAGCCTCCCCCAACGCACATGCCTCTCCGCGTGCTGCCACCACACTTGACCCAAATGTATCCAGGGGGCTCGGGGCCGGGGTGCCTGCTGAGAAGTGCGCAACACGCAAACACAGAGCCGGGACCGGGACAGGAGAGTCGGGAAGCATCAGACCTGTCACCGCGGTGAGGGGCGGAGGAGAGAACATTTAATTGTGGGTTCCTTTGAAGTGACAAGCTTAATACCTCACGACACGCTCTCTTCTGTCACCGCCCCTCTTCCGTCACAGGAGTCCCGAGGACAGCAAAGGCCCCAACGATTTTCCAGGCACGTGGGCTTTGGGGCCCAGGGGGAGACGGCTGCCGTTTGAGCACCGTGAGACCAAGTGGGAACGTGCCAGCCAGGGAGAGCTCAGGCCACCGGGGCCCCACGCATCCCCCTGGGCCCTGCCACGAGCCAACCTGGGGGAACCACTCACTGTCAGCCGCTCTGCTGTCCAGATGCTACGGCAGCACCGGACTGGCTCCAGGGGCGGGGCTGAGGGAGAGAATGCTGGCCCCACACCCTTCTGCTTGGGTCTGCATATACTTGGCCAGGAGGCCCTTTGGTGGGGGGGGGAGGGTTCGATCAGGGGACGCGAGCAGGCGCCTCGGTCAGAACTTTCTGGGCTATAGACAGGAGCGCAGGGAAGGCTGGGCTCTCAGGAAATTCCCGGATGAAGTCTCGACCCTCCTCTAGGCTCTTAGTGAGCTCTGGGTCCAGGGGCACAGAGCCTGTGAAGGGAGACGGCAGGGGAGGGGCCGTGAGGGCGGCGGGGAGGGCCCCGCAGAGGGGCTCCCAGAGCCAGCCCAAGGGCCAACGGGGGGCCGCAACACACTCACCCAGGAAGGGGACTCCGGCGTGACTGGCCAGCTCCTCCCCGCCTCCCCGGGAGAAGATGCTGGTGCACTCCTACAACAGACACGTGCTGCTCCCTCCGTCGGCTCCCCCACGCCGAGGGGCAGGTCCGGGGCTGTCCCAGCCGGCCCAACCAACCCCCTCAAGGGCTGCTGACCCCCGCCAGGTCCCCACGACTCACCGCGCAGTGTGGGCAGACGAAACCGCTCATGTTCTCCACCACCCCGAGCACCCGCAGCCCCGTTTTCCTACAGAAGGTCAGCTCCCGCCTCACGTCCCCCACGGACACCGCCTGAGACCGAGGAAGAGAGGACCGTGGCCAGCGGGTCACTCTGCCTAGCCCTGGGTGTAGGGTCCCAGACCTCCAGGAGACCGAAGGAGCTCACGGGGTACCTGGGGTGTGGTGACCACGAGGGCCCCCAGGGGACCGTAGGGACGCAGGGCGTCCACGGTGGCCATGTGCTCATCAGACGTCCCCGGTGGCGTGTCTACAACCAGGTAGTCCAGCTGCCCCCAGGCCACGTCCGACACGAACTGCTTTATCAGCGCTGTAGCGACCCAGGGAGGCCCGGGGGCAGGTGAGGCCAGGGTCTCACGGGGGCCTCTCCAAGTCCCTCGCCAGCAGCCAGCCTCCAGCAGAGGGGCCGCCCGAGGGCAGCACAGCAAGCCGTTCCTCTGGGAGACGGAAGTGCACCGCACGGCAGGGAGGCTCCTTCCCGGGCCCCCAACACTCCTGTTCAGGCCTTAGCCGGGACCCGTGACCCTCCTGAGGGTGTCGGTGCCCGGACCCGGGTGCACCTCAAGCCTTGGCAGCTGGAGGTGAGGCGGCCTGCAGCGACGGCCCGCACAGGCACGCCCCGAAGGAGCCCCCGCGCTCAGCCTGCTGGGGCAGAAACCCCAGAGCCCAGCCTCGCCGGGGCCTCCTGCCCTCATCCCCTGCACCGGCCTGATGGCTCAGGTGAGCAGCAGGACCGTCGTGGAAACAGGGAGCCTGCCGTGGGAGTCTCTGCTTTACCCAACAACGTGGGGAGGGCCCGCGGTTCCTGCGCTTTCTATTGGGAACAGCTGAGGCGAGTAGGAAGGCTGGCCGCCCCCCTCCGCCCGCCATCACCACCGGCCATTACCATTCTTCTTGGGCCCCCTCCACACCACGGCCTCGTCGGGGTTCTCCAGCAGAAAGCCCACGGACATGAGGCAGATGCTCTGCTCCTGGTCCACATAGACGGGCACCCAGCCGCCGTCACACTGGTGCACGGCCCTGCCCTGTGCCCGAAGCATGCGGGGGATGCTGGGACCACACAGGTCCACGTCGAGGATCCCCACCTGCAAGGAAGCGGGACGTCCACACTGCGCAGGGGGCTCCCGAGGCAGGGGCAGAAGGGACGCCCGCGCAGTGGCCGGGTTGGGGGGTGCTCACCTTCTTGCCTGCATGGCGCAGGGCCAAGGCCAGCTCCGTGGAGATGGTGCTTTTCCCGACGCCCCCCTTTCCTGAGAGCACGAGGATGATGTGCTGGACGCCTGCCAGGTTTCCGGCCTCTAGCCGGAAGGGAGGAGGGCAGAGGACCTCAGTGCCAGGCGCTCTTCAAGGCTCACTCACCGAGGGGTCGCCAAGCACCTCCCACGCCCCAGATTCTGAGACCTGCCCCCTCACCCTGACATCAGCAAACACCCCAGGCGGAAGGTCTTCCAGCCGCCCAGCCCCAGATTTGACCCTCGGGTTTTCTGAATGCTGCCACCACAGCCCCTGCCTGCAGCCAGGCCGCTGGGGCGGGACTGACCGGCCTCGAGCCGCCCCTTACACTGCACACCTGCGAGCTCGCTCACACGCGGCCCGCACGTGGTCGATGAGCCGAGGGGCTGCTGGCTCCCAGCTGACTCCAGGGGAAAACAGGCAAACATGGAAGACGATGGGGGATGGGCTCATCGTGACAGATGGCAGGTGCGTCTGTGCTGGGGCGGCCCCCACCCCTGCTCCTAGGACGGACCTGTGGGTGCCCAGCGTCCTCTTCTCGGGAAGGACGCTTCTGGCTCCGGGGGACCAGAACCGGCTCTCTGACTCAGACCGGTCCTTAAACCCCACGTGCATTAGGGTGGCCACAGTTTGCACCTGCATCCTTGGCTATTCCCCATGAGGGCCCGGGTCCAACAACCGTGGATCCCTGCTGGCCGTTGGCCACTCTGCCTCAGCCTCCCTCTCCTTTCAGGGAGCCTGAAATGTCACTGAATATTCACCATTCCCACCCCTGCCACCCCCAGGGGCTGCCATCTGCATCCACGCAACCCCTGTGCGACACTCTCTTGTCACCTCAGCGCCCTCTGGCCCTCGCCATCCAGACTCCTGCCCGGTGTCCGACAAGCGACTTTCCCCACCACCGTCGCTGCGAGCCCGGGTCCTCAGGCGGGCTCCACAAACAACGGTACTGATACCACCCCCCTGCTCAACGCTCCATGGGTAGGTTCAAAGGCCCCCACCTGCAAAGCCTCCACAAGAAAAACCGAGAGGGACAACTGGCCCGGCTTCTGGCGGGTCTCTGTCACAAAAGCACACAGTGCCTGCCCCAGGTCTGCCCCGAGGACTCGGACCGGACCGAGCACGGCAAAGAGCCGCTACGGAAAGTCTCCTCTGCGCCCCCCGCCCCGCCCCACTTCTCTTCCTCAGCAGGGACCTTTAGAAAGTTACCCTAGTACTTCGCGCAGAACCAGAAGAGACGTCCGGGTTCGCGTTAGGACCCCCGCTTAACCCAGAACTCTACCAGTACGTCGGTTACAACCTGAGCCTCCGACCTTCCGGCACCAGCAGGCCCCCGAATCGGACGCACGGGGTGCAGTACGGCGACCCCGCGCCCGTCACCTGCCTGCCCGCGGGCTGAAAACCCAGGGCCGCGCCCCGCAGCTGCGCGCCGGACCCTCCCACTCCCGAGGACCCCGGGGCTCACCGGCCGCCGCCTCCATCCCGCCGCGCCCCGCGGCCGCTTTCCGCTTCCAGCGCGCAGCGCCCGCCCCCTGGCCGTCCTGATAGGGCCACTCGCGCGGCACTCAGCCAGTCACGTCCCACGTAAGGTGCACGCACGTTGCGGTGCGTCCGACGAACCGGAGATGGACTCACTTCCGTGTTGGGCCCTTTCTCGCCCTGTGCCGAACGGGCGCACGGGCCCTCTCCCCGACGGCTTGAGATGTGACCAATAGGGGTGTCGAGTCAGGATTGACAGGCCCAGCATCCTGTCGGCAGGAAACATGTGCCGCGCGGCCCGCCCCCTGCTCCGGGCCGCCAGCGCCCGCCAACACCCGGCCGCGGCAGCAGGGCCAATGCGGCGCGGGGGGCGGGCTGCGGGGCGGGGATTGTTTACGTCTCGTTCGGGAGCTGAAAGTAGGTCACGGCCGCCCGGCGGAACGCGGCGGCGGCGACAGGTGAGCGGCGGCCGGCGGCACCCGCTGGCCTGGCGGTTCCGCTGGCGGCGGGAGGCCCCGGTGCGCCTTTGTTCGTGCGGGCGGCGGTGCCAAGCGTCCCCGTCGTAATTCCCGCCACCGCGCGGCAGCGGACACCCGCGAGGACCGGGTCGGGAGCGCGTCGCCTGCTGTGCGCTGCGGCGGGGCCGCCACCTGCGCCGAGCGGGCGGGGGCGCCTGGGCTCCGGAAGCTCTCGGTGCAGGGGACCGCCGGGACGGTTACAGAAGCCGGCAAGGAACCTGCAAGCCCAGCACGGGAGGGGAGGGTATTCCGGGCAAAGGGCAGGGCAGCGCTAGCAACTGCAACGGGGCCCTTGCGGCTTGGGGAAGCACAGGCGAACTATGTGTTGCAGAAATTTGCATTCTCTGTTAATGATGCAAGGCTGGAGGGGTTTCAGGGCTTTTTAAGGGTTGTTTAATTTTTAGGATTTGTGTTTCCGAACACAACCTTGGTTGTAATGAGTGGAGTGGGAGGAGCCAGAGGAAGGTGAGCTGTGGTTGGGAAGTCGGGCGACCGCAGGGATGGAGAGGTGTTCAGTCCACGCCTTGGAGGTGCTGTGACGCTGTTAGGCAACCGCCCAAGGAAGGAAAGGGGTGTTCAGGATGACTGCGGTGGGTCTGGCATGAGGAACTGGGCGGTTGGAGATGCCATTTGTCAAACTGGGCAACAGAGGAGGAGCCAGACAAGGTTTGAGATGCCTGAGGGACACGCAGGCAGGACAGCTGGGCTCAGTAGGCTTAGCTCAGAGAGGGGCTGAAATCCACACTCGGGAGTCATGGGTGTCTGGATGGTGTTCTATGCTCTCTGTCTGGCTTTTATCAAGGTGCTTGCACGCTGGAGGGAGGTGTGAGGTCAGGAAGAGTTCCAGAGCCCTGGCTGGGCACACACGTGGCTCCCAAGAGCGGCCACCTTGAGATGGGCCTGGCACCACTGGCTGAGGACGGAGCGTGGGAGTTGGTGCCACAGATCTTCTTGGCTCAGAACCTGGGTTTTCTTCCAGATCCTGTCCACCATGGCCAGGCGTCCTCGCAGCAGCACAGCTTGGCATTTTGTCCTGAGTGCAGCTCGCCGAGATGCGGATGCCCGGGCCGTGGCTCTGGCGGGGAGCGCTAACTGGGGCTACGACTCAGATGGGCAGGTAGGTCCTAGCGGGGGAGGTGGACACGGCTGGACCGAAGGGTTGAGACGCCCAGGACGGGCACTGCCTGAGCCCAGACTGAAAGATGAAGATGCGCCCAAGGGCAGAGGACGGGCCCTCCTGCCTCTCGGGTGCTCTGTGCTCACCCAGGCAGTTTATCTCGGTTGAGGACCCAACGGTCCCGTGGTGACAGGACCCAGGGCAGATGCTGTATCCTTCTCTGTGCTTTCTACTTTCTGTCAGTTTGTTCAACAAAAGCTTCTCTGTTCCACTCACCTGACCGTTTTCCAAAGGTAGCTATCGTTACCCTAACGCGCGTGCTCTTGCCTGGACAGATGTGCATTTGACGTTTATGCATATGCACACGTGTGTGTAGGAAGACTTCTGATTCTTGGAGGCCAAAGTTGCAGCACCTTTCCTCCGTTGGCAACTCCAGAGCTCCGGGAAGGCCAGGAGCCAGGAGCCGTCCACAGAGCGGCTTGACTGGGGTGCAGGGTGCCTGACGCACCCGAGTCTCACCGCGCCACCCGCAGCCGGGCCGGGATGGGGCGGCAGGGCTGCTTGGCCGTTGTGCCTGTTGGCTGGGTGGGCACTGTGGAGGGCTTCCTCAGTCTCCTTGACCTAGGCAGGGGTTTGGTTTTGCCCCGAGTCCCCTCTGGCTTCCTGCAGGGATGATCCTTGGGCGACTCACATCTGCCATGTCACAGCCACCGACCCTTTTGCCCCTGTGCAGCCAGGTGTTCTGGGAGGAAGGGGTTGCATCTCTTCTAGAGTGAGTGTGGCTGAACCCCACGGAACCTCCAGACCCAGAGGCTGCAGTTCTGAGTTGGGGCGGCAGCCCCTTCCTAGGGCCTCCCTGCCCCAGCCAGCAAGAGGCCAGAGGCCTGCGTTCCTGTCCTGCCTCTGGCTCCCCTGGACCACGTGACCCAGAGCAGTCTGTTCTGCCAGTCCCTGCCTTTACCAGCTCATCACTGGGAGATGCGGGAGGTGTTCAGGGGCCAGGTCACAGCATCTGACACACATTTGCTGCTCATCTGTCACCTGCTGGACTTGGAGTACTGGATTGTGCGGGTGGGCCGGTCACCCCGAGAACCTCTGAAGGACGAACACGCCTCTCCCTTGTTCTGCTCTCGTCTGTGACCCTGGCTGCTGACCGAGTGGGAAGGGGGCTAGAGTCCGCCCCTGGCCAGTAGAGCCAGTCTGCCTTGGCTTTTGGGGATCAGCATTCCGTGGCTAGTGGGGTGCTTGGGGTCTCCTTCCTGTTTCCCTTTGGCATCGGTCTGTAGCTGAAACTTCAATTCTCTTTGCCTGGTCTCCGCCACACGGCTTCTGGGTGACAGCCCCGTGGCCCCAAGTGTGACAGGAAAGAAACAGGGACTGGGTTCTCTCGAGGGGCTTCCACTCCGGTGGGGGAAGGGAGGAGAGAGATGTGCGGGACGGGGAGCACAGCAGGGGATGGAGGGGCTGGAAGAGCCTCTCCGAAATGACACGCGGAACCTGTGGTCTAAAGGCGGACCACCCCCACCCTGTGGGAGAAAGCGGACAGGCCTGTGGAAGTTTGGGAGGCTGCCTGGTGGGCTCCGATGGAGGCCGTGTGCCTCTGCTCAGAGCAGTGGCTCGCTGAAGTGTGGCAGGCCCAGCCCGGGTCTGAGCAGGGGCTGCTGGCCTGCTGCGCGGAGGGCATTTCAGGGAGTGAGAGGAGGGCCCAGAGGCCGGGAGAGGGAGTTGGAGGGTGGGGCCGGACCAGGACCCCAGCCCCTTGCTGGTCGGCCTGGAGTCCACAGCTAAGGCAGGTGTCCAGAAAGGCCTGTGTCTTTAGAACAGGAACAGCTCCTGTGCACAGAAAGCGCCCCTAACTGGCCTGCAAGAAGGATCTGGCTCTGGGTCACCATTAGGCCTTCAAGACTTGGAACACGTGTCCTGACTACTGGGCCCCTCAGGCAGAAGACCAAGCCTCCACTCAGTGTTTTCCTACTGTAGGAGTGGCATGGGGCCACGGGGCTCCAGGGTGCCCCACCACATAGATAGGGTGCGCGGGCACTGCCACGGCGAGGGGCACCTGCTGGAGTCTGGCTGTTGCCCGGGGGCACGGCCCTCGCCCTGGGGCTCTCTTGCTTCCGGCTGCCCTCGGGTGGGGCTGCGGCGTATCCTCAGCCCGGAAGCTGCCTGGAGAACAAGGAGCGGTGGAGCGGGCAGGCGGCCCCGGTGGCTCAACATCAGCTGGAAGCCCAGAGCCCCTGGCTGTGCGGAAACGGGGTGGAGCCCTTGAAGCCACTGCCAGGAGGCTGGAGCTGTCCAAGGTCACCGTGGGTGGCACTGGCAAGGATGGGCAGTGCGTGTGTGGGAGACCCGGGAAGCCCCCCGGGGCCAAATCCCCGCGTCCCTTCCTGGGCCATTAGAGCCGCTGACCCGTGGGCCTAGGGACGGTGGGCGGCGGTGCCCCACACCTGAGCAACCAGTCTCTCCCTCCCAGCACAGTGACTCTGACTCAGACCCTGAGTCCTCAGCCCTGCCGCCACCCATCCCCAGCGCTGTGCCCGTGACCGGGGAGTCCTTCTGTGACTGTGACAGTCCGAGTGAGGCCTCCTTCTGCAACAGCCTGCACGCGGCACACCGGAGCAAGGACTGTCGCTGCGGCGAGGAAGATGAGCGTGAGTGCCTGGGGGCCCCTGGGGGGGGGGGCGGGGAGGAGCCTGGGGCCAGCCTGCCCTCCAGCCCTGGCCTCTGGCCTCCCCCTTCGCAGATTTTGACTGGGTGTGGGATGACCTGAATAAGTCTTCGGCCACCCTGCTGAGCTGTGACAACCGCAAGGTCAGCTTCCACACGGAGTACAGCTGCGGCACGGCGGCCATCCGGGGCACCAAGGAGCTGGGGGAGGGCCAGCATTTCTGGGAGATCAAGATGACCTCTCCCGTCTATGGCACCGACATGGTAAGCAGCCGGGGGGCGGGGGGCAGGAGTGCCTCCAGGGCCCAGGCCCGCCCCCCACCTCCCCAGCTGGCGGGCCTTGGTAGGCCCTTGACCCCCCGTGCCCGCCCCGCTCTCCCCAGATGGTGGGCATCGGGACATCAGACGTGGATCTGGACAAGTATCACCACACGTTCTGCAGCCTGCTCGGCAGGGACGAGGACAGCTGGGGCCTCTCGTATACGGGTGCGCGGGGCACTGCGGCCGGTGGGGCGGGCGGGAGGCCGGGGTGGCATGGCTCACCCCCCCCCCCCCCCCCCCCACCCCAGGGCTCCTCCACCACAAGGGCGACAAGATGAGCTTCTCGTCGAGATTCGGCCAGGGCTCCATCATTGGTGTGCACCTGGACACCTGGCACGGCACGCTGACCTTCTTCAAGAACAGGAAGTGCATAGGTGAGGGCGGCTGGGCCCGGGCCCCCGGGGCCGGCAGCTGGAGCCCCAGGCCAAGCACCCCAGGCTCCCCAAGGGGCTGTCCTCACAGAAGCCTGAGGCGCCGGGATCCCCGGCGCGAGAGTCGTCAGGGATGTCCGTGTCCTCGGATGCCGTCGGGGGACACGCAGCCCCCACAGGGGGCCAGAGCTCAGGCTACGCTCCCTGCTCCCGCAGGCGTGGCGGCCACCAAGCTGCAGAACAAGAAGTTCTACCCGATGGTGTGCTCCACCGCGGCCAAGAGCAGCATGAAGGTGATCCGCTCGTGCGCCAGCGTCACGTCCCTGCAGTTCCTGTGCTGCTACCGCCTGCGCCAGCTGCGGCCCAACTCCGGGGACACGCTGGAGGGTCTGCCCCTGCCGCCCGGCCTGAAGCAGGTGCTGCGCCACAAGCTGGGCTGGGTCCTGAGCATGAGCTGTGGCCGCCACAAGCCCCCCGCGCCCTCGCCCAAGGCCATGGCCGATCCCGGCGGCCCTGAGACCCGGCGCTGCCAGAGGAAGCGCTGCCGAAGGACCTAACTCGTTTTCCAACGAAAACTGCTTTTCCGGGCCGAGGTGGTGCGTTCTCCGTCCCTCCCTTTTGGGCCACGCTCCAGGGCAGCAGACAGGACGGAGCTGAGGTCCGTCCCTCTGCCACCCGAGGCCGGGACAGGCCCTGCGCTCCTGAAAGCAGAACCGTCCGAGGGCACCTGCTTCCTGCGTTGGGTGTGGGGGCGGCCGTCCTGGCTCTTTGGGACCGACCGCGGGCCCGGGCGGCTGTCGTGGGCTGCGGAGGACACACATCAGGGGCGGCACCGCGGCTGCCGCCAGCCGGGGCTCTTTCTTAACTTGCCTTTTGCATGTCGCCAGCTGCTGCTTCTCCCGCCCCAGGCTGAAATGACCCTAATAAACTCGGCGTTTGGGCAACGCCTCGCAGTGGTGGTGGGACGAGGCCTGGGGCTCTTTCCTTATCAGGTCCAGTTGCATAACGGTGCTTTCCAGGAGACACCCTGGCTGTCTTTCCTCCCGCAAGACCCCACCTTACCGCTTCTTCCCCTTCCTGACCATTCCGCTGGGGCACCAGGCCCGTAGCCGCCGTGGACAGGACCCAGGGCAGGGGAACCTCACTGCCACCCTCTCCAGCCAGCATGGCAGCTCCTGGCAAGAGCGTCATCTCCTGCTCCTCCCGGCACCACCCCTTCGGGGCCAGGGGGCCAGACCTGACCGAGCATTCCACCCTCCCATCCCCCACGTGCAGCGCTGTTCCCTTCCCCCAGCCTGTGGTAGTTTCCGGTTAACCCGCTAGGCAGGGCAGGCGGCGTACCCCATTCTGGTCCTGCGGACGTGGTCAGGAGCCCAGGTCCAGCAGGAGCTCGGGACTGGTCGTGGTCAAGAAGAGGCAGATGCGGCGGGCAAGGTCAGGGCCCACCCTGCGGGGCCGCGCACCATCTCCCGTCTTCACGGGGAGGTCAGCCAGGAGGGCCGTGCGCTCCTGCTCTGTGTTGCAGGTCCTGTAGGCCTAGGACAGGCACAGGGATGAGCAGGGCAGGTCCTGGAGACCTGGCTCCAAACGTGGGGGGGGGGGGGGCCCGTGCAGGGGGCCCCACCTGCTGCACAAGCCGGGGGGCGGGGAAGGCGGTGACAACAGCATCGGCCACGGCCGGGCTGACCCGGTTGAACTGCCTGATCTGCCGCCACCAGACCCCCCGAAGCCCTGTGCCATCTCTTGCCACTCGCTCACCCCCTGCCCAGCGTCCAGCCACACAGAAGGAAAAGGCACGGGACTCCCGGTACTGCCTGCAGACAGAGAAGGATGCAGGGGAACTTCTAGAAACTTCTCACCTTCTGAACGTCCCACTCTCCAAGCTCAACAAAGCCCTCAGTCTGCCCCGCTCCCAAAGCTATCAGAAAGGTACCACCTCTCCAGGCACTCCTGTCCCCCCTCCCGGCTGCAGCCACCAGTCAGGGTGGTGGTCACGCACTTGAGGGGGCGCTGCGCGAAGGCCTTGGTGAACGCGCACACGTGCCGACTCAGCTCCTGCCAGGAGGCCACCAGCAGCACATCCAGGTGTGCCCAGAGCTGCAGGAGCACCAGGGCCTGAGGACGTGAGCCCAGAGTGCGTCAGCGGAGGTCACCCTTGGGGACACCCAGCTGAGACCAACCCCACATGCCGCCTGGGACCAAAATCGGGGCTGCGGGGCCTTGGAGAGCAGTCCAAGCTCCAGGACCAAGGCCAATCACCTCACCCCACCCAACCAGCCCTCACCTCCTCCACCCTGGGCCAGCTGAGTGCCACTGCCGTACGGGCCACTGCTGCAGTCTCCGGCTGCCTCGTCTCGTGGATGTTGCTGGGCTGGTGAGACCTGAGCAGAGGTTGCCTGTCCCTCCGGCTCCTGCCACCCTGCCATTCCCACCCTCCAGTTCTGTTTCCCCGATCTGCCCAAGGAAGGGGGGCAGCTGTGTCACAGCCACCCCCAAAACCACCACCTTTCCCCTGAACCCTCCCATCCCAGCTGGGCCTATTGAAGGCATTAGGGTGACCGGTACCACAGGTAGGCATCCAGCCCAATGACGGCTACGTGGGGGCTGGTGGAGCCCTCAGGAGAGATCCACGGTACGGAGCAGGGTGGGCCACAGGTCTGCAAGCCAAGGATGAACACATCCGTTTTGGAGGCTGTGGCAGGCAGGACCCATGGGCTACCAGGCCACAGCCAGTTTGCAGACAGAAAAAAAAGCGAGCTTGGGAGTAACTGAGGGGTCCTGGGAAAAACAGCCACAGTCTTTCTCTGGTCACCCAACCAGCTCCTGTTGGAAACTGGCTTTACGCCTCTAGCAAAAGCAAAGAACAATGTGAAAGCCCCGGGCACGTCCCAGGTACTGAAAAGAGCAAGTCTGAGTCCCCATCCCCCATTTCTGCTCTATCCCTGCACCCTAGACTGCCCTGTGGCTGGCATATGACACGTTTGATAAGTACCTAACAACAGACAGCAAAACCTGCAAAGAGTCTGATTGAACGCCTCTGACTTCTCGCTAGTTTCTCTGGGAAACCTTCCTCATCCTGACTCTCATCCTGTGGAAATGGCTGTGGCTCCCATCCACTTCCAGGCCAAGAACCCACTTGGCTTCTCCATCTTGCCCACAACAGCTCCAAGTTGCTGATGAGAACTCCAGACTGCTGCATGCATGCCGTCTGACCCTCTCTCCTTAAGCAGGGAAGGGAGACACGCAGAACAGCTCCCCCACGCTAAGAAACCCAGCCCCTGGAGATTTGTGGACGACTACCGCCCCCACCAGAGCACCTGGGTCAGCTGGTAGACGCCCTGCAGAAACTCCTCAGGCTCCAGGAGCAGCAGGAAATCCTGTTCACCTGCGTCCCACACCTCAGAAGGCACCTGTGGGGCACCCAGGTGGCTCTGAGGCTCCTGGCCACAGTCAATCCCAAGGTTCACCAGAACTACTCTGCTAAAAAACCCATTCCCCATCCTCTGCCAGGTCCAAGGCCAGTCGGGTTCTAAGGACAGGAGCCCTGCAACTTACCAGCACAGTAGCTTGGGCCCCACCCACTCAGTGTTCTTCCTTCCCAGTTTACCGATCTGTAAAATGTGCAGGGTGTGTGAAGCCTCGCACATAAAACACTCTGGCCAGAATCGTACTCTGTTACAAACCAGGACACTCACGGTACCGGGGCAAGAATCCGGCTTTGCTCTGGTCCACCTGAGGCTCCGGGCCAGGCGCTGGGTTTCCACTCGGTACTCACAGCCCAGAGTGCTCAGGGCCTCCAGCAGGATGCCAGCACCAGCATCTTCCAGAACGGCTGCGAAAGGCCGCAAGAACACAGCGGTCACTACTTCCCTGCCCCGCGGGCGAGGCAACCATCTGGTCGCCCCCAGGCCACACGCGTCCCCGCCAGGAAACCCACGCCAATTCCCGTACAGGAGGCGGCCTTGGGGATGCGGCTGCCCCTGGGGCGCCCGCAGGGGGAGGTTCTGGGTCCCGCGGCCACTCCCCGCGCCCGCCCGCACCTGGGTCCACGCGCACCGCCACGCGCCGCAGGGCCTGCTCGGGCCGCAGCGCCTTGGCCGCCGCCCTGCACTCCTCCGCCGGGCCGGGCACCCTCGCACCCTCCTCCGCGCCCGCGGGGCCCTCGGCGTCCGAGTCCGAGACCTCCCATGTCGGGGGACGCCGCAGACACCCGCCCCGGCGCGAGCTCCCCGCCCTCCCCGCATCCGTCCGCGACGTGGCCGGCCCGGCCTCCAACTGGCTTCCGGCCGAGCCCGGACGCCTTTGCGCGGGACACCGGCCGCTTCCGGCGGCGGCGGTGGAGCGGCTTCCGGTCGGCGGGGCGCGGACCATGGCGCGGAAGAAGTTGCGGCCGCGGCTCATCGCCGAGCTGGCCCGTCGCGTGCGGGCCCTGCGGGAGCAACGGGAGCGGCCGCGCGACTCGCAGCGCTATGCGCTGGACTACGGGACGCTGACGCGGCCGCACTCGGGCCGCCGGCTGCCCGCGCGCGCCTGGGCCGACGTGCGCCGCGAGAGCAGCCTGCTGCAGCTGCTCAGCCGCCTGCCGCTCTTCGGCCTGGGCCGCCTCGTGACGCGCAAGTCCTGGCTGTGGCAGCACGACGAGCCGTGCTACTGGCGCCTCACGCGCGTGCGGCCCGACTACACGGCGCAGGTGCGAGCGCGCGCCCCGTCCTCCGCCACCGCCTCCGGGGCCGCGCGCGCGCTCTGAGCCGACCCCCTCCCTCTGCCCTTGCTTTGCAGAACTTGGAGCACGGCAAGGCCTGGGGCATCCTGACCTTCAAAGGTGAGGCGTTGGGGCCCCGGGTGGGGTGGCCGTCGGCCGCAGCCTGCCCCGCGAGCGTGTGTGCGATGCGCGCCGGCCCTCTTTCCCAGGACACACGGAGAGCGAGGCCCGGGAGATCGCGCAGGTCATGCACCACGACTGGCGGCTGGTGCCCAAGCACGAGGAGGCGGCCTTCACGGCTGTCACGCCGGCACCGCCCGAGGACGCTCAGTGCCGTGTGCCCTACCCGCCGCTCCTCCGGGCCATGATTCTAGCGGAGCGACGGAAGAGCGGGGACACCAGCACCGAGGAGCCCATGCTGAATCTCGAGAGGACGCGAGAGCCTCCCTGGGACTACCCTGCGAAACAGGAGGCGAAGAAAAAGGCCAAGGCCGCTGCGGTGTAAAACGCCAGAGCGGGCAGGCTGTCGGGGAAGCGTACGGCGCTGGGCCCCGGTGTGAGAGCGAGAATGAACCCCCGGGAGCTTGCATCCGACCCGCCCCCCGGCGACTTGTGCTGAAAAGGACGGGCCGTTGCCCCTGTGTCTTTCCTTTGTCCCCCAGCTCTGTGATGGCTGCTGGGGGGAAACCGCGGGCGGCGGGGCTGGCCGTGTGCCGCCCTCGCGCTGGCGCCTGTACCTTCCAGGCTCTTTCCCCGTCCCCGTCGCGTGCGGCCTCTCCCGGGACTCGGGCCGACTGCACGCGAATAAAGGCAGAAGCCATAGCCTTGGGGTGTGCTTTCTTTGAGTTTGGGGCTGGGTTGGAGGAGTCTGGGGCTTGGGGAGCGCCCGGCGGGTGTCGCAGGGGTCCTGGGGTGGGCGTGAGCCTCAGCGCCCGCCCTCCGGGCCGCGGCCCGGCCCCTTTAAGCGCAGGCCCCGCCCGGTCCGAGCCGCTGCCACCACCGCCGCCGCCATCATGATCTGCCTGGTGCTGACGGTGCTGGCCCACCTCTTCCCGGCGGGTGAGCGGGGCGGGCCGGGGCGGGCTGCCGGGGCAGAGGCGGGGGGCGGACGGGCCTGACGCGCCGCGCCCCGCGGGTCCCCGCAGCCTGCGCCGGCGTGCACGAGCGCACCTTCCTGGCCGTGAAGCCCGACGGCGTGCAGCGGCGGCTCGTGGGCGAGATCGTGCGGCGCTTCGAGAGGAAAGGCTTCAAGCTGGTGGCGCTGAAGCTGGTGCAGGTGAGGGAGGGCGGGGGCGGGGGCGGGGCGCCGGGGGAAGCGGGCGGGGGTCCAGGCGCGCGCGGCCCGACCCCACCCCGGCCCGCCGCAGGCCTCGGAGGAACTGCTGCGTGAGCACTACGCCGAACTGCGCGAGCGCCCCTTCTACGGCCGCCTGGTGGACTACATGGGCTCGGGGCCGGTGGTGGCCATGGTGAGTGCCGGCCGCGGGCGGGAGGGCGGGCGGTCCGTCCCTGGCCTCGCGCCGAGCACCCCGCCGACCCGCTCACAGGTGTGGCAGGGGCTGGACGTGGTGCGCGCCTCGAGGGCCCTCATCGGGGCCACGGACCCGGCCGACGCGGCGCCCGGCACCATCCGCGGGGACTTCTGCGTCGAGGTTGGCAAGTAAGGCCGCCAGAGCTTGCGCCCAGCCCGTCGCGACGCCCCAGCGGCCGCCGGCGCTCACGCGGCTCTCCCGCAGGAACGTGATCCACGGCAGCGACTCGGTGGAGAGCGCCCGCCGCGAGATCGCCCTCTGGTTCCGCGGCGACGAGCTGCTGTGCTGGGAGGACAGCGCCGGGCACTGGCTGTACGAGTAGCCCTGCCCGCGGGCCCCAGGGGCCGTCCGGTTTGCGACCCGCCTGGAAACGCACTCGGGCCAGCGCTGAGGCTGGCCGGCACTTCTGTTTACAATAAAGTGAAGTGCTTATGCTCACCTTGGTCTGGGCCCAGGGACACAGAGCTACGTGTTAAGACATTTATTACATACAGAGCAGATACGTGGGTTTGCTTGCAGGGCCAAAGCCTGAGGAGAATGTCCGCCCAGCCCCTCCCCCCCAGCCGCACCCACCCAGCTAGCCCCCGAGTCACTGCACGGCCTGTGGGAACAGACAAGGGACTGAACGTACATCACAGTGGAGGGTGGCAGGGTGGTGGGGGGAAGCCTGCAGCTGCACGGGGCTGTGGCCAGGCCGGCTGGGCTCCTGGGGAGGCTGCCGGAGATGTGTGCTTCTCTGGTGGGAGGTGGGTGGGCAGCAGGGCCGGGGGCTGCCCCAACCAGCGCCCCTCTCCAGTAGGTTCAGGGAGCAGCAGTCCAGGGCGGCACCCCTCAAAGCAAGTGGCCATCCACACCCAGAGCCGGCCACACTGCCAGCCCTAGGCACTTAGAGTGTGTCTCGGGAGCTGGGCTCCTTGGAAACTGTGGGAGGCAGTCCCCAGACAAGTTCCCCTGTCACCCTGAGGCTGAGCCTGTATCTTAGGACCGACCCCAGGAGAGGCCAGGGGCCTCCCCCTTCTTCCTGAGGCCTGGGCTTGCCCTGGCAGCCTGAGAAATTCACCCTAGGGGGTTTCTGGGATGGGTAGGACTCCAGAGCCTGCTCCTGCCAGGGGGGTCTCCTGCCCGACAGAGCGAGCAGAAAGAGGGCAGCTGCCTTAGGCAGGCTGGTCACGCGCTTTCATGCCAGTTCCCGGGGTGCCAGGGAGCGGGGTGGGGAGCGTCCAGGGAAGGCTAGTGGCTGGGCCGGCCCCCCCTAGGGTCAGGCCCCCCCTTCAGGCAGCAGGAGGCAAAGGCTAGTGGGCTCCGGCTGGGAAGACTTGGCGGGTGGAAATCCCTGCCTCCTGCTCCAGGAGCACGGGAAGTGGGGGGGCCCCGGGGGGAGCTGGGAGCTGCCTGTGGGGCCTCCTCCCAGCCTGACCTACCACGGGATCCTGCCTCGCTCTGGCCCCAAAGGGCCCCTGGGACGTGGGAACTTGGGATGGGGGGCCGGCCACAAGCTGCCGGGGAAAGCACGTCTGTCTGGAGAGGTCCTTCCCCTCCCTGGTGAGAGCGCCACCCGGGTTCCCTGCCTCCCTGACCCACGTTGCCGCCCGCTGTCGGGGACGCCCGGCCGTAAGGTGAAAGCTGCAGGTTGAGAGGTTAGAAGAGGGGCTGGCGCCGGGCTGCCTGCAGGGCGGGCAGTGGGCAGGCGGGCGGGGTCGTATGTACACGTTGGCGTCGGGCGGGAGGGGCGCCGGAAGCCGAAGCCTCACTCGGGGCTGTAGGACACCTGCCACACGATGATGTGGCTGCGCTCGGCCTTGGACAGCAAGGGCTTCACCTGGTTCACGTCCCCCGCGCTCTCCTCCGTGTCGTCATCCTCTCCGTCGCCTAGGGAGACAGCAGCCGCGGTGATGAGACGGCCCTGCTGGGGACGCGCTGACCCGGGCAGCGCCCACTCACCGATGCGGAAGTCGATGTAGCCCTCCCCGCCACTCAGCACCAGCACGTTCTTCAGCTGCTGGCCCTCGGCTTCAGAGGCAGGGGCGGCCGGCCCGGGGCTCTCGGACGGGCTGTCGAGCACGCTGCCGTTGAGAGTGGCCAACACGTTCCCTGTCGGGGCACAGGGGCCTCAGCGGGGCAGCCGAAGGGAGGCCACGCGCGGCCCTGCAGTGGGGGTGGGCCGGGCCCCTCCTCACCTGGCACAGAGACGAAAAACTTGACGGCGTCGCGGTGCCCGTGGAAGCAGAGCTGGGCCTGGGCCATGGAGCAGTAGGGGATGAAACTGCTGGCTGATTTGTCACTGCTGTCGTCACCGTACACGTGGATGACACCCCCCGGACGGGCCCCCTCTCCGGAGGTGGGGGAGGTCTTGTTGGCTGGAGAGAGAGCAGGGCCCCAGGACCCGAGCCTGAGTAGGAGACCAGATCTCTAGCGGGCGAGGGGCAGAGGGTGGGAGTGCGCCCTCGCCGAGGGGCCAGGCCGGCCTCGGCCCACGGGGCCTCTCAAGCGGGGGCTTCCCTCTAGGGGCGGGAGACAGGTGCTCTGACTTACCCCGGAGCCCCAGGAGCTGGCCTCGGTGCAGGACCACGGCTGGGGGAGATGGGGGGGACGGAACATGGAAGAGACAGGAGAGGAGTCACGGGAGGGGCGGCGGGGGGGGGGTGCGGGGCAAGGCCGCAGCCCGGGAGGCACCCCAGCCCCCCAGAACGGCCCGGCAGAGCCCGCCCCACAACCCCGGCCCTGACTCTCGACCTTTGGCAGCAGCCGTCGGTGGGGGGGTGACTCACTCTCGGTCAGCGGGATGGAGATGACGACGCCGTTGCCGGTGCCCACCCAGAGGCGGTTGCCCGCGATGAGCAGGGCTGTGATGCGCACGAAGGAGAAGCCCAGCTTGCCTGTGCCTGGGGGGGAGGGGGGGGTGAGTCAGCATGGCGGGGCCAGGGGCCCTCCCTGCCCGCCCCCCCGAGCCGTCGCAGCCCCTCACCCAGCATCTTGCTGACATAGGGTTCGATGTCCACGTCCTGCAGGTGCTGGTGGGTGTGGGCGTGGTAGAGCCTCAGCGTGGAGTCCAGGCGGATGGACACCCACACCCCGTCGCCGATCCAGGCCAGCTGCCGGACCTGGCTCTCCCGCCGTGGGTGGGCGTCAAACGATTTCTGTGGAGTCACGGCAGCTTGCGTCAGTGGGGGCGGGGGGGGGGGTACTCTGACCCCGCCACAGCCACCGGGTCACTGCAACTTCCCCTCTACTGCCTGCTTTGCTCCTCAAGGTCCAGGCTCCTAGGAGGAGCTGTCGCCACCCACCGGCCCTCTCCGCGCACGGCCGGGTGGCCGAGGGGAGGCATGTGGGGCCCACGTGGTGTCACTCTGACTTGTCACAGAGTGTAGCAGCAGGTGGTATCCAGACAGACGCACTCGCAGCCTGGCCGGTGACGTCATCTCCCCGAGCACGTCTCCCGTGACCCCACGAAGCCCCAAGTGCCTGTTAGAAGGCATGTTGGGAGTGACCTCAGCTGACCGCCCCTGCACGGAGACCCTCCTGCCACCAGCACTCACCTCGATCTGCATCGTCTTCGGCTGGATGACGTGCACCTTGTTCTTGTAGCCGCACCAGACGCGGTCGTACACGACGGCCATGCAGCGGATGGAGTGGTGTGGGTGGCCCAGGTCCATCAGGTGGTAGTTGCTCAGGTCCCACTGGCCATCTGCAGAGAGCCCAAGACACCTGCTCACACCTGGCCGGGGCCCAGCTCCGCTCACACAGGGGTGGCTGCTCGGCGCAGGCCTCACCTTCGCCTCGGTGGAAGATGGCTAGAGTTCCGTCTGCCAGGGCCACCAGTACTCGCCCTTTCACATGCCTGGAACGGAATGGTGGTGAGCGGGTGGAGGCCAGGCCACCCCGGGCCCCTCCCGTGCCCTGGCCTCTGCTGGCGGTCACATACACCAGGCTCAGGACGGAGTCCTTCAGCTTGATGGAGTGCAGACACTTCTTCCAGTTGGCCACAGCCGAGTGCACGTAGAGCCTGTGGGAGGAGGCCGTGGTGGGCGGGGTGCTTGCCCGGGGACCCTCCCCCACCGCGGCCCCAGGGCCCCACCTACCAGCCGTTCTGGGCTCCCAGCCACATAGTGGGGGCAGCGCTGGTGCTGGCCCCCGCAGGGTCTGCGCTGGGCTCCGGCTCTGGCTGCACAACCCCCGTGTCGGCCTCCTGCCCGTTCTCGCTGCAGGAAGGATGGCGGCTCCAGGGTGGCCTGTGGAAGCCCGTCCCCGCCCGCCTCTGCCAGTCTCCCTCCCCTCTGTCTGCCCCGTCCCGAGATCGCCCACCTGCCAGGCTGGGTGCTGGGGGCCGGGGTGGGGGCCAGGTCAGTGAAGACGTGCTCCGTGAGGGGCCCGGGCCGCACCGCAGCTGCCTCCGCCTCGCTGGGCCCAGAGTCTGGCACCTCCGTGGCTTCTGTGGCCTCTTCCGTGGACTGAGCTGGGTTGACCTTCCCATTGGCGACGGCAGCCACCTCCCCTGCGTGAGGAGAAGGTGAGCCTGGCTGGCTGGGCGGTGGGGAGGAATGCGGTGCGCAGGGAAGATAGCTGCCCGGGCTCAGGCCCAGACTCACCTTGGCCCTTGTCGAGCACCGGGGTGTCCCCTCGGGAGGAGCAGTTGCTGCGTGGCACGTTGCAGCGGGTGGCACAGCCCACCAGGGTGATACCCGCCAGCACACCATCTGCACTGGAGTCTTCTGGGTTTACGTCGCCGTCCAGGAAGATCTCCCCCGGAGGGTAGTCGCTGTCACTGGCCGCTGGGGGGAGAGTCACCGCCCCGCCACTCCTCACCAAGAAGCCCCTACTACAAGACCACACCCAGGGCTCCTGTCCCGGTGTGGGTGCTGGGGGAGGAGGTGGGCCCCAGGCTCTCCTCTCAGGCCAGCCCAGCCTCAGCACGGGGGCCTGCAGGCCACCACCGCCTGGAGGCCTGGGAAGCCTGCGAGAGTGGAGTAGTGAGACTCCGGGCTCTGAACAAAGGACTGTGGTCACATGACAGAACCTTACGAAGTCTGAGGAGCTTGGGGTCATCTCAGCAAATGGACCCCGGCAGGGTCCTGGCCACCCCCAGGTGCTGGTGTGCGGCAAAGCCAAGCCTGGGGGGCCGCCAGCTCTCCCTGCTGCAGCCGGGCAGTGGGAGCTGGGCCCCCCAGTAGGTCCACGTTCAGCACCCAACTGACATTTCCATCTGTCCCGGGGCCCAATGCATCTCCTTCCAGCTGGGTGAGTGAGCCTCACCTTGGGTCTCGCCAGTTGTTCATAACACTAATGGGGACACCCCCACAGGCTCCCGAGCATCCACATCATGTCCCAAGCAAGGCCGGGGCCACCTCTACGTCGCAGCCACGTGCGGAGCGGCACAGACCCCAGCGCTGTGGGTGTGGGCGTCCACGCGGGGCTGGCCCTCACCTGGAATGCTGGAGATGCACAGGACGTGGGCATTGCAGACGGT